CGTTCAACGCGCCGGCACTTTATAATTCCGCATAAAAGGCGGCTCCGACGACGATGACAGACGGCCGCCCGTTTTCATTCGGACAATCACGGAAATCACTCGGCGAGTGATCTTACACGATCGAGAGTAACCTTATTTCCCTTATTTAGCTCGTTCCATTTCATTCCTCCAACTACTTATCGATGAGAAAAAAAATGTAATGTCTATGCAATTCGAATACTTTGAGATGATCATTAGTTCCTGTCCATTAGCAGCGCGAAACTAATCAAAGTATATGCTATCCAAGATTTTTAAATATAATAATGAATATAATATTTTCGCTACAAGCGATTTAAAGGTAAAGTTTTAAAAGTTTAAGTTTACGCGCACGACAGTATAATTAATAAAAATGTTTCTTTTTTATATTTTAGAATATTCGAACACAGATAAGCTATAACTGTCAGCATATATGAATATTGTTGTCTCGCTCATCAATATTATGAAACGCGCATAGTGAACATTTTAAGATACATCGATCATCCTACGCTCACATGCTCTTCTTTCTGTTTTCCTCGAACCTTTCGTAATCCAGGCCATAGATCACGCTCGAATCTCGCTTATCGAATTCTTAGATTCTTCTTTACATATGTTACGCTACTGCGCAAAAGAAGAGATATCGTTTTCTAAATGATATTATGCTCGTCATTAGCGCTGTACCTTGGAAAATCGTGCGGCTGAACAAATTTCGGTCGCGTTCGCGAGAATCACTTGCGTATTCTATATTTAACCACTTCGGTGCTATACAAAGCTCTTAAAAGCTGTTGGAAGTTTCCCGACACATCCCACGTGTTCTCATCTCTTCGCCCCTTCAATCTTTCACGTGGGAGAGAAGCGCCCTCAATAATCTTCTTTTAATCAAGAAGAGCAAAAACGAGGTCTTTTCCTGTTTCGTTTTTATTTTATTTTCGTCTTATTTGTATCAATAAATTGGAGACTATTCCTCAAACTTTTTTTTATATTCGATGTGTTTAAAATATCTAAACTTGCCGCAAACTTTTTAAATTTTTGAATTATTGAAAGAGATATATGTATATATATAAACTGGTTAAGTATATTTATTAAATAAAATTATCTTTGTAATTGATATATATTCCTTTCTAATACAGAAATATATAAAAATATATGTATATGTATATTATACGTATACATATACGTATATATACATTTGAAATTATATATGTATATTCTCTTAAAACATTTTCAGAAAATTATTTGATATGTAGTCTTTCATAAAAAATAATAATTAAGAAATAATTTAATATTCCGTACGTAATGCGATAGGCAAACACAATTGTGCAAAAAAAATACATCAAATAAAAATCGTTTTTCCACGAAGAAACGTCACGTGAAAACCGCGACATCCGCTGCGACGGAAGGTCGATGTGCAAGCCGTTGCGTTCCATCGCGAGAGTTTGCACAGATGTGGCCAGCGTGTTTGAACAAATGTGAACGAGACGAAGATACATGCCACGATATTCGCGACTCGATTGCAAAATACGGCACGAGCGCGACTCCACGTGGGCGCGTTGAAAAGAAAAGCTCTGACGTCTGCAGACAGATTTTTGCCTTGTTCTAGATTATCGGAATGATTCTCAGCAGGACACTGTCGTTTATAATGAGATGTCTGAGAATTCAGCTTTTTGTGCTCATCAAAATTGTTTCACGTGGCAATATGCGAATATCGGCGGAAGCGATTTTATTTAAATTTAACGAGAATACTACGCGTACCTTTTATATGTCATTCATTCATTCATTCAGTTACTTTGCTCCGAATATTTTATGTAAATTTAAAGAAAAAAATGTTTATGTGTGCACATGTATGTGTGATGCATATTTCGATACATTTCGAACTGCGGCGAACGCGCGATCTCCCTCATCGGCTTCGTTTTTTTTTTGCTGTGTCATATTTATGAATCGGCCGATGATTGAGCGTGTGTCTCGGCGGCGCCTGCTGATGACCCCTAATGACCTGACCTTTTGCCGACACCGCCGCGATAATTTCCTTTCAACGCGCTCATAGTTTTTGGTTTTTACGCATGGATGATAAGAAAATTACGACGCGATCTAACTATAAACTCTTTCTACGTATAGAAATGCGTAAATTTAGCAGGGCATCGATATATAATATACTTTAATTGATAACGATTCAACGCGATGTCTTCAAAAGCGTGCATGCTTTTTTCACGCTATATATTCGTGCTAGATATTATTTAGAAATTAATTAGAAAAAATTCAATTAAATTAATTTAAAAAATTCAATAATGAATTGCAGAGATTAATATATGTTTGTCTAATATCAAAGGGACTGCACCGGGATATCGGTGCATCAGTGGCAAGCAGGAGTTGTAGGATTAAGAGGTAGAGGTTCTGCTTTTTCTTGTTAAACAATATTAACGATCATAGCCGACAGCGGCGGCAGATGGTCGCTATCGAGAGTGCGGCCTTGTTATCGGTATGATAACGCTTCTAAACTAACACGCAACGAGCACAGACGATGCCAGGTGGCTGGGAGTGTTATCTTCCTTTCGCGCGAACACAAGTTCCGCTTCACTTGTACTCACACTTTCTCGTTCTAATATAATAATGCGAATCTTATTCGTACTCGATTCACTTTGCGACTGAAAAGAAATGGCGAGAGGCTGTTTTACGCGCGAGGCGATATTTCACGGTAATATTTGACGAAGAATGAGCAGATTGCTCCAATTAATTCCAATTTTGACTCGAGGTCACGAAAAATTACGTCGTTAATCGCACGTGAATCGAAGTGGCTGTACGGAATCTATATTTGGCTCCGATCAGCCGGCACTTATCGTGCTCGAAGGAAGCCCTTCCGGACAGCCTTTTTCGACTGGATGGCTTCCAAGTTACACGGAATCCGCAAAAAGTTTTCGGGAAAGCGTCGCTGCGAGGTCAGTGCGATCGCCAACCAGAAAGGAAAGACGATCCGATTTGTCGCGATTGCGATGACTCCTCTCTCGGAAAGGCAATAAAAGGAGAGCAACGAACAGACGAGATTGGCGCCAGCGCCATGTGGCGGTCGTGCTTTGGCTGCCCGTTTTGCTTCTCGAGAGAACACGAAAAAAAAAAAAAGAAAAAGGAGAAAATAGAAGGGAAGATGCGGAAGAAATGCGTCTTATTAATACTGCAGGATCGAAATCCAGCTGGATTTGATCGTTAATTTTCAATTGGAAAATATCTTAAAAAATTCACTACTATCTCTAAATCTATTTTTTCTATCTTGTATATTCCAAATTATCCTGACGAATTATTTCCAGTTTGTAATAAAGTGCGCAATTAAAAGTATAAAATATCAATTTTGATTTCTAATAAGTATACGACGCCGGATGTCTTCTAAAAACATTAACTTGATCCAGTAATCTCTCATTCGAGAGAAGAGGCTAATAAGACACAGAGAATGGGGAATGCGAGAGGAGGCTGGAGCGGAAAGCGAGGCTAAGAGACGAGAGATGGGAGAGTCGGCGCCGGCGATCCGCGATCGAGAAATCTGATGCATCTGCAACGCGCGTAGGTCGCGCTTGTCGCCACGTCAGCGATCGTATAGACTCGGATGAATTATTGCATGACCGATCGATGATTGTCGGATAGAACCGCGCGTTCGATCGTTCGCTTTCGTTAAACAGCCGTACAGCGAATTCGTCGAATGATTTACGTAATCGCGAACGAAGAAAATATTTAGAAAATATCGCGTAGGTCGTTCGCTCGGTTCATACAATTTTTTACGGAATTTCATGTCTCGGAAGAAATGTGAGAAAGGTCGCGAAATCGCGATCTCTCCTCCTAACGCCGGATAAAATTACGCATCGTCGTATTTGCATACGCATTTGTTATACAAATATGTATTATGCCAACTCATTTGATAATTCGCGCATTGTATACACTTTGCTGCGAATTTTGCTCTCTTTTTCAAGATTGTTTAAAATTCACGTCAAATAATTTGTATTATCATTTAAAAAATTATCATATTAATCATATTATCGTATTATAATTAAAAATAAAAATTTTAAACGAATAATCTTAAAACCTTGTATATACGATAAGAAATTTATAGAAACATACAGGTGTCGTTCCAACTCTCATAACGTGTCAGATGTTTAAAAGGGGCGAGGGGTAGCAGTAAGTCGCACGATGACAAGCGTCTTTGCCGGCGATACTAAAATCAGCGAAATTAGTCTCTGCCTTGGAATCCGAGTCGACTCGACTCGGAGAAGCAGAGGGGAGACGCAGACATACGCATATTATAATTTTCTCTCTCTCGCGCTTGGTCGGTCCTTGTGTGCGCGCCAGATGGTACCAGCTGGATGACGCATCAAAGCAGAAAATCTACCGCGTGTCCGAAGCGCGGTTCCGCCCACGGAATCGCGAGGGAAACACGTGCGTCGCCACGCCGTCCGTCACGTTGTACGAACGCAATCTCGGAATGCGAGAATTCGATAAAATTTCATATAACGCCTACGTTTTCGAAGATTTTTTACATACATCAGCATCCGCACACTGACACCGCATTGCATTTCAATGGCAAACTATTCGAATAGCTTATTTTATATCGATTCAATCTGTATTGAATAATTAATTATACAATTTCTTTAATAAAAATATTAATCTTTTATAAAATTCTGATTAATATCATGTTTATATTACGCAAGAAATACGTATTTCTTGCGTAATATAAACATGGTATTAATCAGAATTTTATAAAAGATTTTCGTTATCATATTGTTATTCTTTGAAAATTGTCAATAATAATTTTAAAAATATAGGATAAAGAAATTTTTTTCTGATTACATTATATATTCAATACAGCATAAAGGACCGAAAAAAGTTTAAATTGCATTAAATTTTATTATTATTTATAATAGATAATTTAATATTTTTATATTATTTACAGCGCTCACAAAATAGAGAGCTATAATTAACGATCATTCTTTCTTTTTCGTTTACAGCCAGTGTCATGGCGGATTCTGAGAGGGATAGCAGCTCCGATGCTGACGAAGACAGCAGATCGGACCTACACTCGCCTACCGCATCTGAAGACAGCGTCGAAGTACAGGTGACGCCAATCTCTTTGAGAAACAAACGGAAACTGGCAGAGCCGCGCAAAATTCAGGAACCGGCTGTCATCGCGGCGCCACTGAAAAAGAGACGATTCGACCCGATCTCTGAGGAAACCACCGTGGGCCAGGAAGAGAGCAGATCGCTAAGCACAGCAAGTCCCTTCAGACCATGGGTTCGTGTCTCCTGTGAGAATGAATCCAAGACAAGTGTATCCTCGACGACGTCGATGACGACAATGACCACGGTGACGTCCAGCACGACGACGACAACAACGGCGACGACATCGGTGACATCATCGACGAAAACGTCATCCAGCGAGAAAGAGGAAGAGGAGAGAAAGAAGGAGCAAGATGAGACGATGCAGAGGTTACACGAATCATTTAGAAGACAACATCCTGCCAGTTACAACAAATCGTTCGTTTCCTCTCGACGAGAACTTCGTCAGAGGTTGTTCGAGTCAACGGCGCCGATAACAACGACACCATCTACGGTGGGCACCCTCTCCCGACATCCTAGACTGCAGGACGAGCCCTTGTCCTTGGTGGTGAGAAATGAGAAGCCCCGTGTGCCATCGCATCCCGCTGTTAGCGGCACCTACGAGAAGACACCATCATATATGATGGAACATCTATTAGCGACGTCGTCTACTCGCAATCACCAGGATGATCAGAATCATAGAGACCATCAAAATCATCAAGCGGCGTCATCGGTGTCGTCAAAACATCAGGGCGGTCAACAGAGAAACTATAAAAACATGACGAGAGAGAGACGGATAGAAGCAAACGCTCGAGAGAGAACCAGGGTGCACACTATCAGCGCGGCCTTTGATACCCTGAGACGTGCCATACCTGCCTATTCGCACAACCAGAAACTGTCAAAATTGTCGGTATTAAGGATTGCCTGCAGCTACATTATGACGCTGTCCAAGATCATTGAAAACCCGGACGGCGACCTTATGGCTACAAGGAACAATGGCCCGACAGACTTGGATAGTTGTGTAGAATTGGTATCTAGGACCATACAAACGGAGGGCAAGCTCAGGAAGCGAAAAGATGACTGAACGAATTATGTTTTGAACATGAACAGCAAAGAATTTCCAGACAACAGAGTCTGTTATGAAATATGGAAGATTTCGCTCTACATACGCTTGTCAAACGCTTTGTCTTCTATTCTCGATTTGCGGGGAAAGGGAGAACGAGTTAGACTTATTAATGTAAAATAAATCGTTAGCTTTAACTATCGATTTTTAAAATTACGCTACGAGATTGTCTCGATTAGTTCGTAGAGTATCGATCAAAAACGCGTTAATTGAGATTGCGAATTATGGGCGCCATAAGAGGTTTTTCTTGTTCTTTTAAACAACGAATATATGCGTGTGTGTGTGTTCAATAAAATGATAATGAATTTTGTTTGCATAAAATGCTATGAAATAATTACTCACTATCATTGTATAGAATTTGTATGTAATGCATTCTTCGAAATCTCAATAAGCGAATTTTAGATTTTAATGAATACTCTCGACACAGGGAATTTCTGGCGCCCATGATTATGGCGCGGGTCATCTACCTATGTACCGATAGCAGCTGTGCAACCAGACAATAAATTTTTAGAAATATCCTCATACTTAGACGGCGCTTAATTTACGCAAACACTACTACAATCGTTGCACCGCATCATGAAAATTACGACGAAGGAGAACAATTTTCCAAATCAATTTTTATGATAAATAAACATTTCTTTTTACAATTGAAATATAAATATATACACATATAAATTATATTACAAAATATCATTTTTTAAATTTCATATTTTGGCGATGATAGATCCATAGACAGCATTGTAATGCATAATATATTTTACTTTGACGGAGCCTCAATATAGTTTATATATATATATATTGCCTTTCGAAAGAGTTAATTGCGAAAAACGCAAACGCGCCTTGATTTGACCGTATAAATTCGCGTGTTACCTAGAATAGCGACTTAAAAAATGCCGATCTAGAACGTAGGCGAGAATGAAAAAGAACGAAACAAAAGCGAAGACAATAATAATGCTGCTAGCGGTATATTCTCGATGAAACAGTCAACACATACATTACGTAGCATGACGATTAAAAATAATCCACCGCCATCGAAATTACAAACGATATCGTCTTCCTGTGAAAATATAATAGCCCGATAAAAAAAGAACGCGTAAAAAAAGTATCGTCATTATAACGGGGTCAGATCTACTATGAAGGTTTCTCACACTTTCGGAAAGACCTGCAAAGTCTACCGTTAAATCCGCAATTAAAAACAATTTAATGTTTATGAGCAGTAATAATCTGTTAAAAAAAAAAAAATACTTAATTCTAATATTAATATTAAATATTAAAAAATTAGGTTTTAATATTAATATTAATGTTGAAGATTTTTTTGAGAGAGAACATACGGTGTTATATAATGTTAACTTCGAAATATATAGATTTTACCCTGGTCGATAAATATAAATTCTTAATAACAAAAAAATTATGCGAAGTATTACGATTGTCATTAATGCGGGAGGAGGATGTTACCTGATCCTAAAGATGCTAAATATGTAAAAGTGATCGGAGAAGAGTCAACAGAAGTTCATATAGTCTTTTGGCGCGGTCCCGTTGACTGCGTATCAAACTTTTGTAAATAGTAGAAGTAATGATGTTATGATTAATGATTTATGCTGAAGCGAGATATAGTAATCGAACATGTGTTTACGTATGCGACACAAGAAAGCATTTGTATTAAATTAAGCCTTACGCGGCGATCCGATGCGATATTCGATATGTACCTTTTTACGTTGTAAGGCAACTTCGAGCAAAGTTCAAATGAAAGTGAAATTCAACAACGAAAATTTTGTTTCTTATTTGTATACACAGTCACATATCCTATCCTTTCATTTTCTGTCAATCCTTCTCATTCCTCGCGATCTCGTAATTATGACATTTTATTAAAATTAATTTTACTCTCCATTTATGAATTCTATTCAGACAAAGAACGAGAATAGAGAAATTTATTTTAGGAAAAGTTTTTAATCACTGTCTGATTACGAGCGTGCTGATTTATATTGCGAGCTTTGTTGAATTTTAATCAAATGATGCTGAAGATCTCGTTTAGTGTAACTAAATGTGCAACGAGAATATGGGTCACAGTCGTATCGCGTGCTGTCTCATGAAAATGCAACATTGAGCAAAAATATGAATTCAAGCTTGGCCGACATTGTTCAATCGAGTGTAAATACATAACCAGTCGCAGCCAGATTTCGCAAGTTTACCTAAGCGCCCGATGGAATCGCTGCTGCGTTATCGCGGCGACGAGGTAAAAGTGGATCCAATAGAGCAATTCGTAAAAATATACGCACACAATGTACGCGGCATGTATTCAGGTGTAACGACACCGAACGCATCGAGACGAGAATATTCCCCGAGCGAGCGAGCATCTGGCCCACAGATAACGATATCGATCAATAGTTCAATTGTGTTAGCTGTCGTACACGAACGCTTACGCGTGTTGCAAAACTGCATTTACGATTAATTGCAGTATTTTTTAAATTGTTTCTAATATATTCTTAATTTTCTAAGTTTATTTATACATTTGTTTAAATTCTTTGAAAAGTTAAAATTTTATTGCAATACTGTTCGAAATAAAACATCAGAGATAAGAATAATATTTAGATTTTAAATTGTACACAGAGAGAATTTTATCTTAGAATTTACTTTGAAAATTATGGTAATAGTGGGACAATATGGTATGGAAGAATGTTATAAAAGTTTCTCTGATTAATATTTACTACAATAAAAATATTAATATATGTACCACAATAAAATATGTTCAATTAAATAATAGTAAAATTTATTATGTATATATTAATATTTTTATTGTGGTAAATATTAATCACAGAAAATCTTTTATAAAATTTTTCCAATACCATACTGTTCCATGATTACCATGATTTTCAGAGTAAATTCTAAGACAAAATTCTCTCCGTGTATAGACATATAGGTTTTCTAATCGCTGCAATTTTGAACATTTGAAATATGACAATCAAATTTCTTTCTATATATAATATATATAATCTTTTTCTATTAATAATCTCTTAATTCTAATGGTCTCTTATCTCTTTATAATAATCTGTGACCGGATTATTAGCGACGAATCGATGCACAGCACGTTCAGGCTGTATCCGGTTCGGCAGCTGTTTAGCATAAGGGCAAATTGCTTAAGAAAATAATAATGCTCCATCTCCTTGCCGTCTCTTATGACTCGCGCCTCCTTCTGCCATTATCTCGAGATATAGCAGGTGGCGATGACGTTCTCGCGTTCGGCTGGCTACCTGCTCGAAAACGACCGCGCGGTTTTACTCGCCGCACCAGCATCACATACGAGTTCTCATACGTGTATTCGCGTACTCACCTTCTCGGGATCACCACGAATGCACGTGTAACACGGCCGTTAGGGAAGTAATTCGGGGAACAATTGATGTGGAGGCTGCGCGAAGAAGACGGCAAGAATAAGAGAAAATGCACATACAAAAAGTGCAACAAAATATGCGTACAGCGATTAGAAACCAAGTCAGCAGGAACGTGAATATTTTAATCAAATAATCATAATATTCAATAAATCAATAATCATTAATTTAAATAATCATATTATTCAAATATATGGGACTGAGAATTTATGGTTACAAAACTTTCTGAAATATTAAAAGCATTTGCATCCTGTTTTTCGTTCGTTTATTTTTTGATTGATGAATGAATCGAAGATTTAATATTTTCAAATCTCTCTCGTAAAACTGAATCGCGTTTTATTCCAGTATCTCGTGCTTGTTATATTGTGTCGGTTATACGCGCGCGAGCTGCTACACGGCAGCCTGATTCTCCAAATTTAGGAGAAGTAATTTAGGAGAAGTGAGAGCTGCGTGAGAAACTGTAACCGCGTGCTTTTCCGCGAGCAGGTGCACCGCCACGAATGTGACGAACGACTCTGACGGACTTCATAATCCGACCGATGCGGACCGTAAAAACGTGAGACATAGTACCGCACGAAATCGATTATGGATACGATATGGCGTTGCTTCTAAAAAGAAAGAAGCAACGATAAGAATGAAAAAAATGTTTAAGATATACAGTTCTTACACACATTTGTGCAAGCAATAATAATCTCGGTTAATTAATCATAAATTTAAAAAATGTATTCCATTCTAGATGAGAATAAATAAATATAAGATCTGCAAAAAACTGTCCCTACTAAAAATCATATCAAGTGATAATTCTGTCTATAGATACAAACAACAGAGAAAAGCTGATTTGAGCGTTAATCGATTTTAATGCCGCCGGAACCACGGAAGATATTATTTATGACTACCACTTGGCTTTCATTTGCAATTAGAGCATCTCTATGCGCGGATTCATGGATGGCAGTTTCGTTCGCCTGCAGATGAAGCGAAAGAATGCCGACCGGGCAACTGAGCGAGCAGGTGCTCGGAATATAACATCGCGATGTACGGGCTCTCCTCACTTTTTTCAGTTTTCTCCTCACGCTGCGAACATCCTTACGTTCTTTTCTCAAATATATCATTCTAAAGCATATCTGCTTTGCGTATCTTAAACGCTGATCATGAACAAACAGTGCAAGAAAAATAGAAATACATCTGAACAATTTATACTGCATTTCAATGTTCGTTTTAAAAAAAAAATAAAAAGATATTACTCTCGATAAACAAGAAATAATTTTATACTATGCAACACATAGTTATCATATATAAAATTATTAATAATAATTAATTATTTATATAATTAATAATAAATTAATTTTAAGAAAATAACTGTTTGAATTTAAATATGTTTATAGATCCGTTTTTCATTTATTGTTAGGTACCTAACTGTGAAAATTGCGAAAAAATAAATAGTTAAATGTAAATCATACACGAGAAGATAGAAATATCACAAGTGGAATTTTGCGGAAGTGCAGTAATAATGGGAATGCAACTGCGAGTTGCATGCGTGCACGCATCGCGAGACTAATTGTGCGTTTGCGGCGCAAGGACACGCGAATTGGCCGGTCCCGCGATCCGGCTCCACGCCTCTTATTTTCGTGCGGACCCGAGACCGTGGGTACGCACCTGCTAAGAGGTAGGCGCAGGTGCATTTACCCGCCTTCGTAAGCATTACTTAATTTTCGACGGTTACATAGCGCGAGTATAGTAATTGACTCGGTGCGTATCCATCTCGGTGCAACTCCGAAAAAAGGATAAAAACACACCTACCTTGAGCGATCATGCTTGCATTCATGTCATAGGCTCATACTCCATTTGTTCCTACTCTTTTATTCTTTACATCAGGGTGTCCAGCAGACTCAATGAAAAAAATTCCCTGACTTTTTCAGAGTTCCAAGACGAGAAATTAATTTTTTCCCTCACTTTTTAGTATTATTTTTTCCAAATATATCATTTGCATGTAGCTATATGATAAATCAATTAAATGTTAAATCATGAAATCCTTGAGATATTTTTGTCAACAATGAAAAGATTCGAAAGTTAAAAAAACAAAAATTTAAATCAATTATACAATCTGCATTATGTACAATAATCCAAATAAACATGTCAATATAAACTATTTAAATTTATATCAAATTTTTTAGTTTTATCTCTATTAAACACATTGAAATAAAATAACACGACGATGAAAATATAAATTAACGAACACGCTGTAAATGAATCGATTTTTAACAACACAGAAAATTAGCGTGCTGGAAGTCAAGAAAAAGTTTATTTAATAAAAAATTTCAAATTATTGAGACCAATGTAGTATAATGTGAAAAAATTCAGATAAATAGTAAAATTTCCTGACTTTTTCCCTGACAATTCCAGATTTATAAAATTCTCTGACAATGCTCGGTTTTTCAGATTTCCCTGACCGCTAGACACCCTGTTATATGTTCAATATAATTTGAAGACATTTAATATCGAAAATCGTAAAGTTGTAAAAAAATGTGATATCAAACTCTCTGTCATCAAATCGAAGAAAAATAGAGATAAAAAGAAATTCCCGATACATGCTCGTCTTAAACATTTCATTACTGTGTTCCTGTTCTCTCTTTCTTTTATGTATTAATTTAATTATTTTAGAGAGAGAGAATCAAATTAATTGTTCAATTAATTTTTAAAATTTGTATATTAATATATCTAAATGTCAAGTTTTTCTGCACAAAAAATAATGTTTGCATTCTAAATATATAGTTTTTTAATCGTATAAAATTATATCAAAGAACGTGAACAAGACTGAATTTGAATGCAAAAATCGAACATCTTAAAACAAATCTAATTATATAATATTTCATCCTAGTTCGAAATTTTTATTACCATTGCCGCTGTAGAAATGTTATAAAAAAACAATTTCTCACTCACCGATACCTGCAACAGCGGAATTGTGTACACAGCACATTGATCTGAAAACAAAATATTCAAACTATGTATATACATATCTGTGTGCGTAAGGGATTTTAAAAGTCTGGAAATGATCGAATTATCTCATAAACAATGCAGTTTAGAAAAAAATGTGAAATATAACAAAAATTATATGTATATATATACAATATTTCTTAAAAGAAATGTTATTATATATTTATTTTGCATACCTCATAGTTGATCTGCTCTCGCTCGATGCCTCCCCGGACCTCCTCCTCCTCTCTTGGTCCTTCGTGGCACTCGCGACACTCGCGAAAACAAGAATAATTACGATCGCCCGACACTTTACACGGCACTCCCGACGCGCGAAACTTTACACGGCACTCCCGACACGACGCGTTAATCGCACGCGTATTTCGCGTACATTACACAATGAGGAAAATCGATGCAAAAACTATAATCACACGAAGCAACGATTCGGCACTCGAGAATCTCGCGCGCAGCTTATCAGTAATGCTACCTGTGATAACAAATAAAATACATACATATATTAGAGCAATCTTATTATTTTTTGCATTATAATATACATATGTAATATATAAAATTAATATTTTTTTATATATCTTAATTATACATCTCTTTCGAGATAAGATCTACAGATCTCTCTTTTATTTCCCATTGCAGATAGAAAAGTAGAGCATTTGAATTTGTTATTTTCTCCATTTTCGACTTAGGAAATGACTTAGAGCTATTGTTTTAGACAGCGAATTGACCATCGCGTATCGTCCATCGCATCGAGAGAAATCGCGAGGAGGAGCATCGAGAGAGCAGAGGGACTTAGGTGCAACGGCGGCCATAAAGCAAGATTAATGAGGCGAAGTGCGCTCTGGTAGGAAGCTGTCAGGGTCCTGGCGCCAGCTGACCAGACGACTCGCACAGCCAGTCGCGGTATCGACCACATATAGACCCGTTACACCCACATGTGTTCACGAACTATGATCCAAATTCTCTCTCCCTCTCTCTCTCTCTCCTCTCCTCGTCGTCGCGACAAAATCGTTTGTTTTATGTTCTCGAGAAGACGAAGATCTCGTCAACGTAATCTAACAATTAATGATCTAACGTAATGATAAGGAATGTTGGAAAAATTAGAAGGTGCGATGAATACAGAAAAAGCACAGTAACGATGCAAGTGATTAATGTGTATTCCTGATGTGCACACTTAAATGAAAATGAAAGACCTATAATTTGAATATAAATAAGATTTTATAGCGCATATAATTTTATACTTCTTTTGTTGGGATTGAGGAATGTAAAGAAGATATAGAGAATATAATTATTTTTACTTATCACAAAATATCTGTCATCTATCATAATCTGAAAATTAGTATCTATAATTATTGCAGATCAATTGATAATAATGTAATTTTCTCCAAGATAAAATATAATATACTTGTTATCATGCATTTGTTAAACTAGCAAATGAAAAATTTATATAATCTGTTGCGTTATCGATAATTCATGTTTCTCGACATTCAAGAATTTTCTCAAGGAAGGGACTGATCGATTGATCTCTTTATCGGCGACAATCATGACATTCAAGAACGCGGATCCACTACATAGATTGCAGGTAAAGAAAATGCAGCGGTTGTGGCTACATGTATGCATATGTGCTGCTGTCTCGAAGATACGGCCTTCCGTATCTTCTTCCCAGGCTACCATCGATGATCGGATCGACTATCTCCCGCGATAAGATCCATACTGAGAGAGGAGTTCAGGACACCTGTCTCCGACGGTTATCCCATGTTAAGTACATAACCAGTTTCGCAATACGAGCTCGAAACTCCAACTAAAATCACCATGCACACATGCAACATATATTACGTACGCATTGTGCATAGTAATACACATATATACGCACAGAGAGAATTGCACAGAATCATTCGCTCGCTCGCACGTGTGCGCGCATAAGATTGCACGCACACACGTACGCAGGGGCAACCGAATTAGGCGAATGACGACGAATACGAGAAATCAAATCATGATAACACACAGGGTGTCCTGAAATTATAGCGTTTTCTATTGCAATTTTAAAGCTGTTATTCTATAGCAATTTTCGGGCGTGGTGTAATTTTTAGATATATATATTTAATTTGAGATTATTAATTTTTCTTTTATTTTATATAAGTACTTAATTAAAAGTAGGAATATTATTTAAAAAAGTTTCAAATAAAATTTTTTGAAATATATATTAAATGTTTTATTCTCAAAAAAAATACACACACACAAATGTATATATATTTGTATAACTTCTAGGAATTTTTGCAAATTACTGCGCTTTCTCCCAGCTGCGAACTACTTAATCAATTTGGCGTCGATTTCTCCTTAGCGAAAGTTTAATTGGACATCATCTTTTTTCGCGCTTTTTTTATTTTCAGCCTTAAACGGCAATTAAACGGCACTTGTCAGCGTTTAAACTTCCGTTAAATTAAAACTCATGAGAAATTGCGAGAAATGACTTTGACGTTTTTTTTTATATCTTTAAAGCTTACATCGCGAACCTTAAAAAGAAACACTTATAAATTGAAAAATATGTGCATATGTCTCGGTAATTTTTGAACTGAAAAATAATTTTGAATTGCTTGAAAAATTCGTAGGTGCCCGATTTAATTGAATCGCAACAATCTACATCTATTCTTGCGATGAAATATTTGTGAGAGCGCGATATATTAATATAAAACGTATCATATATATTAATAAACTAAGAAAGCGAGAGATATGAAGAAGAAGCAGAAAAAGAATAAAATAAAAAATCTTTGCTTATAAATAAATAATCCTGCTTTAATGTTAAATATATTGTCATAATATTGTATCTACCTACATTAACATATATAATTTTTATAATATTTCATTAAATTTAATATTTTTAACCACTGGATATTAAATGTGATATTTAATGTAAAAAAATCGTGCATGTAGAGAGACCGCGAATCTGATCAATATTTATCTATTTACTCTTTTCTATCATTCGATAACATTTTTTACAACAAGATACGATTTCCGAGACACCATTTACACGCGGTTATATTAGGTTCCGACCGCTGCGGTCGAACGAATACAAACGCGAACGCGAATGGCAAATGGCGGGTGACAAGGCATCGGCATCTGCGCTTAATTAATGCAACACCGGCCACAACGATACAGCAAGGAGGAGCAGCCCATGAGAATGCTGCGGGGGACGATCACTATGCCCGGCAACGGCGACGGCGGCAGAGATCGTGCTACTCGGAACGACGGAACGACGGTGCCCAAACCAGTCCAGAGTGTTCAATTATGCGCGTCATCGACCCGTACTCCTCCGTCTCCCCGAATCAACTCGTATGATTAAAAAGAAAATATATCTGGGAAACCGATTTTATTTTTCCTCGTAAGCATCGATAGCGAAGAATTTGTGATTGAGCCTCGTGAAAGAGTAAGAGCAAGAATCAAATGATGATTCAGCGGTCATTTCGGAGTAATCAGTATTGTGAGAATTGTCATTGAGCTTTAATTTAATTTAAAAAACTCAGTATACATATTTTTATGTTAATAATAAATTAATCTAATTTATATATAAGAAAAATGTTTATGGATTATTTAAATTAATAGAATTCAAAGATTTTTAATTTCAAGAATGAATTTGGAGAAAAAAATGTAATTTTTTTATAATTAATTATTTTTTTCGAGAAACTTGAGATTTAAGCGGAGATTTTCGTGGGATGCCATTTGGCACCATGGGGATATTGTCATATATGCTGCACTAATTAGTGCAGTAATTAGAAAGCAGTGCTAAATATGATACATTTAAATAATCTTTATCATTCATAATTGAAAATTAAACACTCAAGTTTTAGTCGGTGCTTTAGCAGTCTGGCTCTTATGCCATACAAGAATTAAAATTATAATATCGAGATGATTTCATATATTTATAATTAGTATTGGAAAAAATCGCTCATTATATAAACTATTTAAAAATTTAATACTTCAATTATAATTATTTTCTAATCTAATCTTTGCATGTTTGTTGTATATAATCTTTTATATACATTATTAATTTATTCATGAAACACCAACATATAAAGGAAGAAAGTTATCAAACTAAATAATGGTTGTTCTGATAATAATAACATTCGTCTGATTTGTCTACAATCAGGGTTCGTTCAATTATAGTCAACGATATTGCGAATCTGTTTTACTGGAAAGAAGATTCCAATTTCACCGAATAATAGCGTATACTAACGCACGCGCGCGTTATTGAGCTTCGACATTTCGAGATATAACTATAGTTTCGATTTGTTCCCCGTTTATCTTTCGCCTCGTGCGGACACCCACGAGGGTTCCCCGTCTATGTCTCTGTACGGAAGCAATCCTCTGTATAGGATGCGACAACGCGGCGCCAGCTAGCATTCGCGCGCGCACAGAACCCGGGTTCTCGCCGCCGCTCGATTCCTGCTGCGACGACGCTTCGAAGAACGAGTGCAACCGCACTTGGTCCTCGACTTACGTAAGTCTCGACCATACGATATCACCTCGGGACTGCCGCCTGCCGCCACGAGGACGCAAAGGGATACACTTGCAACCCTGATGGATTTCTAAGAGAGTGTAAAGAAGCTTAGCAGAAAAGTACTATTATTTTGAAAAGTAAATTATTTTATCTTGAAACATTTTTGATGCCCTCTTTTTCTTTCAAAATAAAAATAATTAGACAATTAGAATCATAAAAGCTATTGTTTTAAAAGACAATATTAATATATAAACTTTATATGTATAAGATGGATAGTTAAATTATTCTTGATTTTCGGTAATAGTTTATTTTAAAAAATTGACACGTAAATTGATGTTAAAAATGTTCTATTATTGTTTTTTAATATTAAATTGCAAAGAGTATAATAGGTTTATTTATTCTTCTAGAAACTTTTATCTTCTTCAGAACAATGAAATATTTAATTTTAATTATAAGATTAATAATAATTGCAAGATAAATGTTTTTCAAAATAAATAAAATAATGGAATATTTCCATCCGGAAGCCTTTTGCATTAATGGAATATTTCTTCAAATGTTAATAAAAAATGAAATTTAGTCTAATACAAAATATAATATTATATCATATAAATAGATATTTAATTGAATTTTTATATATTGGAAAAAATTAATATTAATATATATTAATATATAATTGATATAAATATAAGGTAAAGATATCTCTCTTTCGTTATTTTTAGAAAAAAAATAAAGTTTTTGTGTACAAAAAAAATGAGATAAAGAGATAGACATACGTCTACACATACAAAATTATTCACCTTCAAGAACGTTTTCCTTCTTCCTTCGATTAAAGTTTCCATTAAAGTTTTCTAAAAGTCTCTTTAACCTCTCTTGTAATAAATTATACGAATGTAAGCGTTACGCGGAAGTTTAGAGGAGTTCCCATATTATTAAAGAACTATCTGTATGTATTATCTACATGCACCATTTAGAACGCATAGATACGAGCGCAAGATCAACTGAGAGATGTGTGCTCGTCAAGTTCCCTTTCCTGTCCAGGTCCAAATAGGGTAGAGAATCAAGTAACTTGGCGCCTACTAACGGCAGTAAACCTACTCGTCTCTATTACAACTTGATATACCCAGCGCATACATGTGATACGTATTCGCAGTAGCAGATAGCGAATATCACGAGGAGGCATCTCGACGAAACTTACCGTCGTTGCTCGGAAGACAAAGTGACGACGTTTGCAGTCGTCGAAACGCATTTGTGTGACAAGGAGCAAAAAAATAATCGACATAAAATGCAAGGTGAAAAGAAAATTTTGTATGCAAACTGAATTTGAAATAGTGAAATATAGCCGTAAATATCTTGCAGAAAATTTGAATGTACAAAAATTGAATAAAGTCATTCTCTCTGTCTCTTCGATAGAACAGAGACTAAAATAAAACTTAATTTCAATCACTCTGATCAATTAACTTATTAATGTAATAATTTTCTAATAGTGTTAAAAATTTGATAATTATTTAACAATTATATAAAATTTTTGCATATTGTATATTTATATATATGTATAATTATATACATATTTAAAAGATATTTATTATTGAGAAAATTATATTAATAAAATATATTATTAAATATTAAGAATAATATATTAATATAAAATATATATATTAATTAAATATTAATAATATATAAATATATTAATATAATATATTATTAAATATTAAACAATATATTAATAAAATATGTTAATAAAAAATAATAAATATAGTAAAACATTTTTTTACTTCAAAAACTTATTTAGAAAGAATTATTTAATATATTTTATAATTAAATAAAAATAAAGTTAATGTATATTATATTATTTTGTTAATGAACTATATACACAATTAAGAAAATACGCGAAAAAGCGTTGCATATATATTTTATTATAATTTTAGTTATGTAAATATGTGTTTTCATATATAATATACCTGCTTGCATACGAGATTCTTCCTAAACACGTGACCATATTTTCCGTGATCGCATATGACATTTAACCTTACATAAATTCATAGTGCTGCCATCTGAACGACGGTAACTGTACCTTTACCGACTGTACCGACTGTTCGTGATAAAATAAAAGTGGACTTACCGACTTACTTGAAGGAATTCGCGCCAATTCGGCCGCCATTTTGACCGCCGCTTTCCCTTTTTCTCAATCCTATTCCCAGAGTCGAAATCGGCTTATTTCTCGCTCTGCGGGTCTCTTGCACCTCCTGTAAATAAAAGAAAATGAGAATATTAGCCGATTGGGTGTGAAATGTCGTGTTTCGAGAGATTTAGCGTCGATGGAATATTACCTTTGAAGACTCGCGTCGTTTGCGAGACGCTGGGTGAATTCTCGTGCCTATTTAATCGATTTGCCGCGATTCGACACACGCCCGATACTTTAACGCACTTACGAAATACTCGTCGCACGTTTCCGCGACCGAAATTCACTCTTAAACCGTAACAATCGCGAAATATACCGCAACATTCGCGAGAAATACACGGAGCGATACGAATGATTCTACACGATCCGGGAGCCGCTGGGCAAGTGAACTCTCGAGAGGCGCAGATTGCGATTCTCGAAGTATCGAACTATCGAAGTATCGATAGAGTCGAAACCGCGTAAATGCAGCACGAAGTCGCGGTCTTATTTATTAACCTATAATCTACAACAACTAAAATGATGAGAAAAAAATATCGTAACGCACTAAATGTTATTTCTGCATACGAAAATAAATAAATACTAATTTCTCAGAATATATCTTGTAAGATTTGAAGGAAAAAATCTAATTAATTTCAATACAATGTACACATAATTCTTGCAAAATGCCGAAATAATATACATACATGAATGTTCAAAATGATAAGATATCTAATTAATTTCAATACAATGACATACTTGCAATGTGAAATAGATAGTAAATTATTCGTTCAAAAATGTTATTTCTACATACAAAAATAAATAAATACTAATTTCTCAGAATATATCTTGTAAGATTTGAATCTAATTAATTTCAATACAATGTACACATAATTCTTGCAATGTTAATGATGCCGAAATAGATATACATACATGTAGAATTATTCGTTCAGCTGTGTAAATGTTATTTCTACATACAAAAATAAATAAATACTAATTTCTCAGAATATACCTTGTAAGATTTGAAGGAAAAAATCTAATTAATTTTAATACAATGTACACATAATTCTTGCAATGTTAATGATGCCGAAATAGATGTACATACATGTAGAATTATTCGTTCAGCTGTGATTGTTGTTCGCTGACGTGTTTAAGAGGTTAGTTATTGCAAAAACTGTTCGAAAACGAAATTCTTTCGAATCTTTTCGGATTTAATTCGACGCGGGCGCCAACTTTCGCGACCACGTACGCCGGAAGTGACGCGAGCCAGCCGATCTCCACATCACACGGCGCAAACGGAGCACTTCTCTCTCTCTCCTCTCGAGTGTCCCACACGCACACACACAAGTGACGTAACCCTCCTCCCCCCCCCCCATTCACGAAGCGCCACGCAGCGCGGCGCGCGCCGCGCCACTTGTGTGCGCGCACGTGTGTACGTCAGTGTGCGTATGGGAGATTTTTCGGTTTTTGAATAAAACACACAATGGTGGTCTCGCAGGAGGTGCTCTCGAGGGCGGAGGAGATCGCCGACCGGGTGAGTTTTCCGAAAGAATCGCGAGCCTTTTTTTCGTGACCTCGTTCCCGTCCGAATCCTCGAAGGGGAGTGAGAAAAACGGCATGGCCTAAACCCCATGGAAGAGGAACCCGCGCTCCTGTCAACGTCATCGTCGCCCGGTACATATCCCAGATTTTCGCGCGTATCTGCGATTTTTCCGCGTATCATCTGTCATCGCAGACGCGAAATGCGCGATTTGACGCGATTTGAGCAATCGTGACGCGAGTTCCTTCGTCTTTCGCCAAAATTGCAGGTTATGAATTCCACAGGTGTATTCGGACACCCTCGGGCAACGATCATCCGTGAGTCCTCGGGACCAAAACGAGCTATGATTTTGCTTTTCGTTCTCTTATCCCGATTGTTTAGATACCTTTGTACTAATAGATTCAATACTTTTACATTTGCATATGTTTACAATGATGACTGTGACTTTTGCACTGATATCCCTCTTATCATCTGTTTGTCTGTTATTTTATCTGGGATGATGATCTAATATATTTTATTTGCTGTTAAAAAGTATTATATTTTAAAAGGAATCTCTCTTAATTGACGTTTACATGCATAATATCTTGGCATATGGATCATTATCCACTTTCACAGACCTACTTTTTACATGCTCATACATCTTAATGTAACATGTTATTTCCTGGTCGAGAATTTTAAAAAATGTATAAGAAAAGATTTGTGTTAATCCTAGAATGATGGAAAATATCACGTTATTACTATATCGATATTAAAATTTACACATGGTATGCTTCATCTGATTTCAACATTTTTTGGCCATATGTATATATATATTTGTATATTTATTTATTTAAATTTATTTTTTATAAAATCTACATGTAAATTTTATAATGATCTGATTATATAACGAAGTAAACTTTTTTGATAAAAGAAAATAGACTATAAAAAAAGCATTAGAGAAGCAATTAATAGAAACATAATTTTTTATCTCTGACCTTTAAATTTCACAAATTCATTATTAAATTCTCATTAAATTGAATAAGAAAATAAATATTAAGATATTATTAATATTTAGTCATTAAGACATTAAGAATATTTATTATTGTGACAGGTAATTCGCCACGGTAAACATGTGCTTCCAACTTTAGCACGATTATGTCTCATTGCTACCTTCCTAGAAGATGGCTTGCGAATGTGGTTTCAATGGAGCGAACAACGAGAATATATGGATGCATCATGGGGCTGTGGAAAATTTCTAGCCACTATCTTCGTCCTTGTAAATCTCCTTGGACAACTTGGAGGCTGTGTCATGGTGATTGGTAGATGGCGAGTCAGCATAGCCTGCGGCGTTTTATTCTTCATAGTGATCCTGCAGACTATTGCGTACAGCATCCTATGGGACATGCAATTCTTATTCAGAAATTTGGCGCTAATTGGAGCGCTTCTACTGGTGCTGGCGGAGTCGCGAGTCGAGGGTAGATCACTCTTTGCTGGTGTGCCCAGTCTTGGTGATAACAAACCGAAGAATCTGCTGCAATTGGCTGGTCGAATTCTGTTGGCGTTTATGTTTGTGACACTGATTCGCTTCGAGATATCTTTCCTACAAATTCTTCAAGACATCGTCGGCAGCATCCTTATGGTACTGGTGACAGTAGGCTACAAAACTAAGTTGAGCGCATTACTACTTGTCCTCCTATTGACTGCTTTGAACTTCTACCATAACGCATGGTGGACAATTCCTGATTATAAGCCGCTTAGGGATTTTCTCAAATACGACTTCTTCCAGGTAAGTTTGTCTGATTTTTCTAATTGCATTTATTCACAATTAACTAAGAGCTAGCTAATGTCTGTTCAATATTAAAACATTTTTTACTAAAGAAATATTAACTCTTTTTTACTTCTGCATAAAATACACTTTTTATTTTTGCCAAAGTTAATTTACGATACAGACAGAATAATCTAAAAAGAGAAATTATTTCTTATATGAATGCTAATTATTAATGTGGATTGAAAGCTCAAGTTTATCTACTTTAAATCTAAAAATTCCACTTAAGTGACTTGATCTTGATATAATATAAATATTATATAATATATATAAGATATTAATATTATCTATAATATATTATTATATAATATAGTATACAGTAGTACTATAATAATATTGATAGTATGTGTATGTATAGTTATAATTTTTTGGTACAGTTTTGATATAATTATAAATAATAATAGCTAAATCATTTTGCTTTGATGTGATGGTTTGATTCAATATAATTTCTCTCTCAAATCTGTACTTTATTAGGTCTATTCTCTAATCTGTAATCATATATATACATATATACACACTTATTATCTATAATAAATTATACTATTATTAAATTTACAATTTTTATATATAATTTATTTAATTTCTTACATACTTTTACTTTATTGTAGACACTTTCAGTCATTGGAGGACTCCTGATGATAGTCTCTCTAGGTCCAGGTGGAGTATCGATGGACGAACATAAAAAGGAATGGTAGAAGCGATCCTATTATGGTGGATACATCATCAGGTTGTTGTCACAAAAGTTGAAACGGATTACTGTCTCCCATTCCTATCCCTTTGTACGCTCAAAGAAATCCTAAACAAATCATTGTGTGTTAAACGACAAGAAATTCAATACGTCGATATCACCGGCCCAAAACAATCATTCTATGTGACTAATTGATTTGTCGAGATTCATATTTTATCATTATGACGAAAATAATCGAAAAGAGAAGCAAAAAGGAAAATACATGCATACAGACTATATTACTGATAATGGCATTGTACATATGACACTGCATCTAATATGGATAATGTATTTTTTTCCATGTACGTTTTCATGTATTTTTGATCACGAGCTAACCGATTGATTTGAGATTCGAGTTTTAATATCGGATAAATGCTTCCACTGTTCCAAGTTCAAGATCTACAAATTTCCGGAGAAATGAAATCGGTCAACTCTAGTTTTACTATAATTTTTTTAACTTAAGTCTTTCTCTTTGACTGTAAATAAGCGTTCCAGATTTGTGTTTAATTATATAAAAGAGAAAGAAGACGAGGAGTTAGTGAGAGATCACCAGGTTAAGGGATTATTAGTTAGCTCTAATAACGTTTTGCGAAAATAAACGGATCTTAAAATAGCACGCGTCCGAGTCTCTCTACACGTCAGCAAAACTAGAAAGGAAGAAAGAGAGAGAACGAAGGCAGGTGCAATCATATAAGCCAGTAAGCAAGGTGCAATTCCGTTAAACAAAGTAGCCGGGTAAAAAGTGAAATTTGAAAAAAAAGTTTGAAAAAATGAGAGTCAAGAATCAAGGATGTAAACGCATGCCTGTGAACCGAGGCACCACTATTTTGTACGGAAAACCGTTTGCCTATATACTAAGATCGGCGATGCGTGACGAAAGATGCGATCATTGCCTACAAAGGTAAAATTGTTTTATCATATATGTATAAAAGAGAAATAATCTTGATAGAAAGTCGTCTCGTCCTTGTTATCCCTTCAGTCCTGAACCTGATAAACCCTATTTTACTTATATTGTTGAATTTTTATTTGTGATGTCTTTAAATTATTGGCATTAATCATAAAATTAGTGTAATAACAATAAAAGAAATTTTTTCCAATTTCTTTTTCAGTAGAATGATAATTGACATGTCAATTTATCAAGTAAATATAAATGTAACATAAGTTTTATACAGAGTTATATACAATAATGTGTATGTTGATTAAGAAATTATATCATATTTAAATTTTACATTGTATTAATCTATTAACAAATCTTTCTGAGGCTATATTGAAAATTTAATGCTAAATGTAGATATGAAAATGAATGTATAAATATCGTGTTTTGTCAAGGTTCCAAATACTATAAATAGATATATTAAGTACTTATTTTAATTGCATTTTTTATACTTTGATGCTATTTTCTTTCTTTTTCTAATATTTTCATTTATGTCGAATAGAATTATAAAAATATAATTAAAAAGAAACTTAAACATTTGTTCTTGTTTAATTATACTTTTTATTTTCTTTGTATGAATAAAATATTAAATGTAAATCTATGAAAATTTTAAAGGATGGAAAGAAATGGAAAGAAAATATAGTTAGAGAAAAAAGATTTAATTAACGTGATCTCTTTAAATTCAAATGATGCATACACAAAGTTGAAACTATATATATATATATATATATGTGTGTGTATATATATATATGTGTATATATATATATATATATACATCTAATATGTATGTATGTTCTATATATATATATATATATTAAAATTTATTTAAAATTATTATGCGAAAAGAAGTATCATGAATGACTTATTGTTAATTGAAAGATGTAATAACAAAAATTCAACATTATAAAAATATCAGGTTATGGACATGCCGGTATTTCGTTCTGCTGTAGTTTCGCTTGAAAGTAATGTGTAGGTTAGAGTTAAAATTAGGTAAAGTTTATTGGAAATAGAAAGTCTGAATATATTATATTTCATCAATGTTTGCATTTTTGCGTGCAAAATGAGTGACGATGTACTAAAAAAAGGAACAATAATTTGTACTGGCAAACCGTTTGCTTCTGCTCTTAATTCGAAACACAGAACCACTCGATGTGATAATTGTTTGAAATGGTATGTACAGAAGAACGAAATTACGAGATATTTGTAATTTAATCTTTTTAATTATGTAATATCGATTAATTATTATGGGAATGAATTATTTTTATTTTATGTATAATTATATATATAAATTAAAATTGTGCAGATATAAAAGATATTATTTATTATTTATTCATTATTTCACAAAACATTCGATGATAATATTTAATGTAATATTTATTGCAGTGGGAAGGTATTAAAGTGCTCAGCTTGTCAGTATGTATATTATTGCGATCGTAGTTGCCAAAGAGAATCCTGGTCGATACATAAGATGGAATGTGCACATTTAAAGAGGATTTTCCCAAAGATTGTACCAGATGCAGCACGACTTATGGCACGTATAATTTTCAAGCTCAATCGAAGTGGGGCTGACGAAGTGGGCTATTATACTGAAAAGAATTTTAGAAGATTTAAAGATTTAATGTCACGTTAGTATACTTTTCTAATAAAACAATTTTATATGTGAATATATAATTAACATATGTATTTGGATTGTAGATTATTCGGATCTGAAGAAAGATGCAAAGCGAATGGAGCATTTCACCACATTATGTGCAGTTTTATTCGAGTTTCTTGGGGGAGAAATAATGCCTAACACTGCAGAGTTGATGGGTATTTACGGTAGAATGTGTACTAATTGTTTTAACATATTGGATGTTAATATGAATACTATTGGAGCTGGTATTTATCTGGGAGCATCTGTGATGGATCACAGTTGCAATCCCAATGCGGTTGCAGTTTTTGAAGGAACTACTATTGTTATCAGAACAATAGTCGATCTTCCATCTTTAGATTGGTCACAGGCAGGTGTTGATAAAATAAGATGCAAAGATTAATAGTGTTGGAATACATTTAACTTTTCTAAGAATTTTTTTATATAGTCATTCTCTTAAATGTTCAACATAACTATATAGTTCTATTTATAACTAAAAATTAGTGATTAAAAGTTAATTCTTGTAGCAAATGGTTTTTTATTTTATAATTTGTTAATATAACATTATTTTACATACAGATACGAATATCATACATTGATTTACTCAATTCTAACAAGGATAGACGTGAAGAATTGCACAATTCATATTACTTTTGGTGTGATTGCGAAAGATGTAAGCAAGTAGAACCTATGGCTGAAGCAGCTGCATGTCCAAACTTATCATGTGACTCTCCATGTCTGATTGAAACTGATAATTGTGAAAAATGTGGTACAAAAATATCAGAGAAATTTAAAGACACTTTTCGGGAAGTTACTGACTTTACCACTAAACATTTAGAAGAAATGAAGACTATGGCTTGTATCCTTTTAATATTTATATCTTAAAAAGCTATGTAATTTAGAATAAAAATAAAAATTCTATTTTATATCTATAATTTATCCTTATTAATAATCACAGATCTTGATGTCAGTAAGATATGTTTGAAAAAGCAGAAGAATGTACTGCATAAGTTTAATATACAACATATTCGTACGTTGGAAACAGCTCATATTGCAGCTATGAACCTAGAATATTGGGAAGATGCAGAGTTATATGGCAGAGAACTTGTACCAGGATATTTGTGAGTGTGTGCAATGCATCATTTGTATAATATGCATAATTAGATAATTTTTTCATTTAAAATTACTCTTTAAATATAAATATTGTTAGTATTTGATATTCTTTCTCTTCTATTTCATTTATATTATATCATAATAAATAAGCAGAATTTATATATGACTTATAATAATTAATGTATCATTAGTGTATTGGTAATGCTTAAAAAAATTTCTATGGCTAAAAAAAATTAACTTCACAATATAATATTTATATATAATATATAATTGAAAGACATTGTATTTATAATTTTTAGATTGTATTACGGAGAAATACATCCTTTGACAGGATTGCTATATCTTACGATTGGAAAGATACAATTGCACTTGGAAAAATCAAAAGAAGCGCTTAAAGTATTAGAAAAGGCAAACAATGTATTAATGATAACGCATGGTGAAAAGCATTCCTTAATGAGAGAAGAATTGAAACCTTTACTCTACCAAGCTATTATGAAATCGAATGGAAATATTAATGGCATTCAATGATTTAAAAATTTTCTAATTTTTTTAGTAATAAATTATTTTTTTAATATATTAATATATTAACTTATTGTGTGGATACATTTTCTCCATATTGCTTTTGATTTTGACGAAATAGCATATGTTGCATAATAATAGGAATATATTAATATATTTGTTAAAATATATATGTTTGTACATTTCTTTATATTTTTATATCAAGTCTATATTTTTTGTTATAAGACAAATTATGCGACAGACAAAATGATATCTAAGGCTAAAACAATCAATGAAAGAAATATAAATTTTTCTATGATTTTTATAGATAAATATTACACACTTTTTCCTTATGATTTTTATCTTTGATATAAAAGTGTAAAATAATGCAAACGTTTTAACAATTACAAAAAATTTACATCAATGATTGAATTGTTTTAAAAATGGCGCGTCTCGCGAATATTCAGAATTGCCAACATTGCGGTTTGCAGCATCGATGAAGAAAGAAACAGCTGCTGTTGCTTATGACAGCTGTCTGATTATCAGAGCCGCATATAACGAGATTTGCTTCATTCACGAAACTCGAAGTATACATAATATGTGGTAAATATAATTGCACGCGATTTTCGCAATACGAGTCCCACGTGCATTTGATGGATTTTCGAGAGGATCTTGCTCGTTTACGTACCGCGAGATTTGCTAGATAATTTTCCGATAACATGAAAAAAAAAACACTTTAGAATGTCAAATCTTGTTTACGAACTTCTATGAACGTTAACTGCTTTAATATTTCAGAATAATGTAATCTTTGAGAACATGATATATTTCTCTATAATTCATGTATGATATATAGAATTTATAAATAGAATGCAATAATTATAGAATTAATCAATTTATTACTTGCAATATGTGTATTTCAATTTGGCATAAATCGTGCAAATATTCTTAATATGTAGTTTTAATAATAAAACTTATGTAATTTTCTTCACAATTATTAAAATATATAATAGAGATTGATATTATTATTATGTCAATATCTGATAATAAATTTAGAATTATATTTATACTGCATAGTATATATATTGTTAATTTTTGTTTTCTCTAGGTATCAAAGTTAATTCTTTAAACAATTGCCTCTTTGAAGATTACATGATGTTTTCTGCTATTAAAAGATTAACCGGTAAATCAGATGGTGTTGGCAATGCATCTCCCAGGCCAGCCCATCAATCCATGCCGACAAATCTTCAGAGAAAGTTTGCCAAAGGTGTACAATATAACAGTAAGTATACATGTATGCTTTTGATGTAGATAATAAAAGAGGGAATTAATTGTAATGTAAACATTATTTTTAGTGAAAATAATCATAAAGGGAGACAGGAATGTAGGCAAGACATGTTTATTCCATAGACTGCAGGGGCAAAAGTTTATCGAAGAGTATATACCCACAGAAGAGATACAAGTGGCTAGTATACAATGGAATTACAAAGCCACCGACGATGTGGTAAAAGTAGAAGTTTGGGATGTCGTAGATCGCGGCAGACGTCGTCGGAAATTGGAAGGTCTAAAGATGGACAACACTCCGTCTAATGCAGAGAACGTTATCGAGGAACCAGCTCTAGACGCCGAGTTCCTCGACGTTTACAAAGGCACCAATGGTGTTATTATCGTAATGGACATCACAAAGAGTTGGACGTTTGATTACGTCCAACGAGAACTGCCGAAAATACCTAGCCATATTCCTGTCATTGTTCTCGGCAATCATTGTGATATGTCGCATCACAGAACGGTCACTGCGGATCATGTGACATACTTTATAGATTCTCTGCAAGAAAGAAGTGCACAAGTAATTAAACTAATTGTCTCTTGTATGAGTATCTTGTATGGATATCATATTATAAATGTATAAATGAATAAGCTTGAACTTGATATATCTTTGACAAAAATTTAATTTGAATCATCTATCAGAATTTTTTCATATTACTTTATTCTGAATTTAAATTAACTTTTTGTAGGTAAGATATGCGGAATCATCGATGCGAAACGGCTTTGGTTTAAAACTACTACACAAATTTTTCAACTTACCATTCCTGCAATTGCAACGCGAGACGCTGCTGAAGCAGCTTGAGACTAACGAGGAGGAAACGCGTCTGACTGTTCAAGAACTCGATCTCTTCCAAGACAGTGACGATGCCGATTATAACAAATTTCTAGATAATCTTGTGAATCGAAGGAGAGCTCTTGCCGATTCAGTATCTGCTAGTAATCTAGTGTCAAATGTTCCATCATCTATGAGTAATTATCATCTTGCACCCAATGCGAATGCTGCTGGAGAGGTCAAAAGGTCGATCTCAATGCCTGGTCCAATTGGCGGCGGAACCCCGATCCCAGTGAAAAATTTAGAGATGAAATCATCGAATAAAAAGGAGAACTCCGCGATAAGCACGTTGAATAGTTTATCAAATCCTATGAAAGCTTCGCAAACTATGGCATCACCCATTTCGCAAAATTCTACTGTTAAAGTAGAAGTAGCTAAACCGGCTGAATCCATTAATGACAACGGCGAGAGAAAAGATTCCCTCAATCGTCCACCATCACTTATGTCCAAGATCTTTGGTCATAAGAAGGAAGATGAGACGGATGGAAAACTGCCAAATGTTAAAAATCTTAGTTTAAATGCACCATTGACTAGTGTCGAAGATTTTGTACCGGATGATGGAATGCTGGACAAATCGTTTTTGGAAGATAGCAGCCAGGTCTCACCGCAAAAAGTGCAGCAAGAAGAAGTAGATTCTGAGAGGTAAGAAAAGATTACAAATTATTAAGACTGTAATTAGTATTTTCTCTATTTGCTCTTGCATTAATACTATTACTGAGAATTCTCTTATGTGTTTTAATGTATATCATTGCAATTATAATTAGTACTAATACTAATAATTTTTAATTTTATTACAGTGACACAGAGACTGCAAATCCTTTAGTAGCTGGTTATGAAGATGACTTGTCATCGATCGAAGAAGTAGCTTCTCCTATACAGCCAAAATTAGCAGAAAATCCACTGTGTAAACAAAAGCATAAATTAGAACCGCTATCAAGTGCAGAGATAAATACTGAGAAGCCAAATCAAGTTACAAAACGCGACTCCGTTTCTTCTATAGAACAAGAATTACGTATTTCGAATAATTTCGAATCGAATGAGCAGCCAGATATAAATTCGGACGCTATTGATAGCTGGTTGCGGCGAGATTCCAAGTGGCGACAGAGTCCTGAAGGAGGTGAAGACGTGAGCAGTACCAGTACAAGGAAGGATAGATTAGAATTAAGCGATAAGAGTCTGGACGTCAGCATGACAAGCTCCAATGTTCATCTGGAACTGCTTGATAACACTAGCATACGTCATATAAACTCTAATGGCAGTAGTCCAGTGATGAAGGAAAGAAAGAAACATAAAGAAAAGGTAATCATCTTGTACAACTTGTGACTTTATAAAAGATTTTTTGTTATATTTTTTCAAACTTTACTATTATTATTTTGATTCATACTTGCTTTTCTTATTATTTCTTTTTTCCTATTTATATTATATTGATTCCAGGGGGATGAAAAGGAAAAGAGGAAAAAGAAGAAAGCAAAGGACAAAGATAAGGATAAGGAAAAACCGGAAAAGACTGAAAAGAAAAAGAAACGTTCATCGCATCGATCGAGGGACGAAAACAGAGAGCGAGACGAGCTCGAGGAGTTTTTAAACGGCTCAGCCACAAGAATCGGCGTTGACGTCGCCTATGAGGCGATTTAGCATTCCAATAAAATTATCGGTAATGTGTTTTGAAAGTCCTGCGTATCTTCCAAAAAGAGAAAAAAAGAATTTCTGCATATAAAAGACTTTGATGTTAATGCATGTTATGCTATTGTGAACAGAGGAACAAGATTATTATTAGTGCAAAGAAGGTAATGTTTCGAATCGCACACAATTAATTCTGTAACCATATATTTATTTTCCACAAAAGTAATCGTACATACATTTTCAATCAGGCACAATTTGCTGAAGATTGTGATTTTATATGAAAGATACGTTTTTTTAACAAAGAATACACTTATTTATATTGCATTTCTTATCTTAGATTTTTAACGATTTTTAATGAATATTTAACAAATTGTAAATCACGAAGCGTTTGTTATATGAATGGATATAATATGTGAATATTTCTTTCATTCACACATAGTATAATGGAAGTGATACAACAATTATATCAATTAATATGACGTTGAAGTATACTTATATTATAAAATTATTTATTAAATTTTAATTTTCTATGTTTGTTTATTTGTATTAAGATTTATAATTATATTTGTCGTTAATATCACACACAATGAATTTTCTCTATCTTTAACCTAGCTAATTCTTGTTAAACATATAATTTGTTTAAAGAAGTTATTCTATAAGAAAGTGTTACCTTATTGTTACATTTTTTCATAACAATGTATAGAATATTGTGCAGTCATTACAGCTTCATGTTAATAAATGTATATAAACGAATCTCAAAGCTCTTTTATTATATGAGTACAAATGTGTTATAATATATTTGTTTATTTATATATGTTATTTTATTATAATAAATAATTATTCTCTGTAGAATATATAAAAATAGAAAAAACAGAATTTTTTCTCTTTCTAATAAAATTAGCCAATCACGAGAGCTGATTGGCTGAGCTTCGCCATTAAACACTGAATATGAGAGCATGAGAGCCACTCTATTTATTCTTACTTCTATGGACGAGAATGATTGTATAGTTTAGGCAAAATGGCGCTTGCCGAGGTTTGTGGTATCAACTCTTTCGTTGATTTTGGCTATTCGCAAGAAAAGGATAAAATTGCAGGCGAGATCGAAGCATACACGAAAAATTTTAGCAACAATCTTCATCTGGCAGTGCCACCGTTTGTAAATGTAAGCGCATAATATGACAAACGTGTGACATAAATTTGCAGCATCATGCAAATCATTCATTTTGAAAGTATATAAATTACACGTTGTAATTTAACACAAGCAATTGTTTTATTACGTTGAAGCAAATATTAATAATGTTAATATCACCAATATATATATCTATGTATATGTATATTTTATATTTGAATATTTGTAACCATTTTTTTCTAAGAACACATCATCATTTTGCATTGTCAATTATGGTGTACTTCTTGTATTAATATGTTAGATAAAATTAATGTTATAAATTGAAAATAGCAAGATAATCTTCTTAAAAGTCTCTTTTATATATTTTATTTGTAATCTTATATTGAACAAAGTTAAAAATATATTTTATAATTCAAATATCTTTATATATATTTGTAGCCAGCTGAAACTCTCGGTCGTATAGCTGAAGGCACTGATGAAACTGGGAAGAACCTGAAGATCAAATTTGATCATGGAACCACAACTTTGGGCTTTCAGTACCAAGGTGGTATCGTTCTGGCAGTGGATTCACGTGCAACAGGAGGGCAGTTTATTGGTAAAATATATTTCATATTCATTCAATTAATGTATTATATGTTTACAATAAAACAATTTTATTTCTAGTTGTTGACAAAATTAATTCTCAACTTGTTTTTCAGGTTCATCCACCATGAAGAAGATAGTGGAAATCAATGACTATCTCCTTGGCACTTTAGCTGGTGGAGCTGCGGACTGTGTCTATTGGGATCGTGTTTTAGCAAGGCAGTGTCGCATGTATGAACTTAGAAACAGAGAACGCATATCTATCGCAGCAGCGAGTAAACTCTTGTCAAATATGATTTATAATTTCAAAGGAATGGGCTTGAGTATTGGTAAGATATTCTTGGCTCATATGCTACAAATCTAAGCACTGCAAGTTATGTAAAGATTTATAAATATAATTATTTATAGGTATGATGCTGGCTGGTTGGGACAAACGTGGTCCTGGACTTTATTATGTCGATTCTGAAGGCACTCGGACCCCGGGAAAAGTTTTCAGCGTAGGTTCTGGATCTGTGTTCGCATTCGGAGTATTAGATTCTGGTTACAAGTGGGATTTAACTGATGAGCAGGCCTATGAACTTGGAAGAAGATCGATTTATCATGCTACACACAGAGACGCCTATTCTGGCGGTATTATAAGAGGTCAGTTGTAAAATAAAGGAAAATGTATATTGTAGAATATAGCGCACTATTATGCCTAATAAATATATATTTTACTTTACAGTATATCACATGAAATCAACTGGTTGGGTGCACATCTCGGATGAAGATTGCAAGAATTTGCACTATGCATACCAAGCTGAGAAAACATTGGAGCAGCCAAGCACTTCTTCCTAGATTTAAAATATACATTGTACACAATATTAATCGTTAATGAAACAAAATAAAATGATTTCTATCATATAATTTATACTAAATCATATATTGATTTAACTTTCAGTATATTGTACGTTTCTATTAAATATAATTTATACTTAGCTTTATTCAACTTTTAATTGCATCTGAGAATTTTGTAGAACTTTATATTAAAAATTGGAGTATAGTTTTTTCAATGAATTTTAGTTTTACATTTTTTTTTGTATAGAGAGTTATCATATAATTTATATTAAATCATCTATTGATAATAAATTATATATTAATTTAACCTTCAGTATCTGAGCATTTTTAATTGCATCTGAGTTTTATAGAACTTTATATTAAAAATAGAAGTATAGTTTTTTTCAATGAACTTTAGTTTTACATTTTTCTTTCATTTAGAGTTGCAAAATGACATTAAATGAATGTGTTATTTGCCTTTAATATAAAATAAATATACATGTAATTATAAATTTGTTCCAATTCTAATTTTAATGGATTTGTGTGATTACACTTCTGTCTAAAATATTTGTGCGTGTGCGTGTAAATTATGACGGGGACACATACACATGTCATGTGTGTGTCAAGATCGCGAAAGGAGTAAGTATAAACGATGTATAGTAGTAATCCCCTCTCCTTCAAAAGCACGACATATGCGAACGAAGTCGCAGCCGCTACGACTCAATCATATCATCGGATCGGTGAAAGAGCAGTGTGATTGCAACAACGAGCGGCAAAGCGGTTGCAACATATTGCAAGAGGAATCCTATCGAACGCGAACCTTTTGCTCGACCTAAAGACGACGGGATGTCGAGCGGAACGGACGAATGCAAACTGAAGGCTGGACATCCTCCGGCAGGTTAGCGAATTCCCTCATATTTCCACCGCTGTAAGACGCGGGACAGATTTTAATGCGCGTTTACGAATTCCCGTCCTGAGATATCCACCTGTCGCTTCGTTCAAGGCCGAGCAATTTTTAATGCGCATTTCACGCCACGTGTTTGCCTATTTCAGTGAAAGCGGGCGGCATGAGGATAACTCAGCACAAGACGCCGAAGGAGGAGCGCGAGACGAAGCCTAGCAAGGATGTGGAAGAGAGCAGACCGTCTAGCAGGTAAAACACATCGACGTCATTTACTGCGACGTATCGGGCCAACGTGTCAAAACACACGTTCTTTGGTAATCTTTGGATCTGATAATTAATCGTCGACAAAAACGAGGAAACAGCTGGCCACAGGTCGGTTTAAAGGGAAGCGAATGAGAAACGTGGGGAAGGGGAATTCTCAAATTGCAAAAGAATTTGGAATTTAGAAATTTATAATAGATTAAGAGATTAATAAATGTAATAATTAAGATACTCTAATAGAGTGACTGATAGAGGTAATTTTTTTAACAATCATTATTTGCCAATTTTTACCAGCTGTTATATGTTGATCATAAAAATATTAATATTTAATTTTGTGTATACATATATGCTTTTCATATATATTAATAAGATTTTTTTTTCTAAGTAAAAGTATGAATATAAAATGTTATCGTTAATCAATCAGAGCAATTACCTTGGATAATTTTTGCATATATTTGTATTTTATTAGAATCATGATTTCATTGCTGATATTTTTTATAATTATATTTATATAATTATATATTCCAATTATATATTAATGTCTATTTTTAATTATACATATACTCGCATAAAATTATTGTATCCTTTTTTCGGAGACTCCACAATTACTCCAATCTTTGTTCGTATATTTGCACAGATTTCGTTATCTTAAATATATCTTTATTTTTATTTTCTGTATCCTCTGATACAAGATACAAAAATTGCAGGATATAAAAAATTTACGCGACTCGGCTGATTAAATTCATTTCTGTTCATTCTCTGACGATAAGCGAAAATATCGGTATTTTGCATTTATATAACACAACATTGCGCAATCGAAAAACATGAGTTACATCTGAAAAAAACATTTACATTGGAAGAGTGAATCTATATTTATAGCCAAATGGAATTCTAATAATTTAAAAATTGATTATGTGCGTTGCAGTACATATTTTAGAAACAAATTTCTAACTTTGTATTAATAAAATTTTTTTTATTTTTAATCACAAAAAAATATGTAACAAAGAAAATTTATTTTTGAAGTAAAAGTTATTTTTGATTCAATGACATTATCAATTGCTTGCAACCGATAATGATAACATATCGTATGCTATAATATATAAAAATGCTCTCTTAAAAAAATGTTGGAGGTATTGATATCTTTACTTTACACTCTTCGATAAAAGCATTAAAAATTATCAATACTTTGTTGTATCGATATCGCTTGCAATAATCAAAAAACAAAACACTGTTCAACAGTAACTCTTCAACAAAAATATATTATTATTTTAAAATATTAAAAAACAGAATCACAGACGTATTTCAATGCTATCCCATCTTCTATGTGACAAATGTTTTGATATTTGCAGTCCGCCGAAGACGATAATGATTAGCGGTGCTCCAGCCAAAGGGAACGCCGATTTTCCGCCGGAAGCTGTGCAACACTTTCATGAGAAGCCTACACCGACGCATGATGCACGACCGGCGCACTGTTCGCGTCCCATTATCATTCAACAGCCCAGAAAGTGAACTGCTCTTTGCAAATCGTACATTGAACTGATGGACTTCGGTCCGCAGAGTCATTCGTTGAGTTTCGCGAGAGAAAAAATTATAATTATATAAATATATATATATGCGAGATATAAGTGTGTATGTGTGCATGTATGTACACACATACACACGTATAAACGTACTTAAAAAAGTCTTTAAAAAGGGTTAAAATCGAAGAGTTTAAGCCTCGCGCTGCTCGATATTTAATTCTTTAACCGATAAATGGCTACTATCTTTTTTTCTATGTATGTAGTTAGATTGTTGTGATCATGATTATCGGTTAAAGAATTAAGAGAGCTCAATTTCGTATACTTAGGTATTAACCACCTCACGAGAGATTATTATATTGTTAACAATGAAAAAAGAAAGTTTATTTTTTTGGACGCCATAAGATTCCTGTATCGGCATTTAACGAGCTTTTGCGAGTACGTTTTTAATATTTTCGTTATCATTTTTATTTTATTGTTCCTTTTTAAACATTAGATACGACATGTTTGCTATGATTAAGTATTGTTGTAATATAATTACGCAATATGATCACTATTTTTGGGACCAGTATATCCTACGATTCATGATCTAGAACTTTTTTATCTTTAATTTTGCGCAATTTTTTCTTTTTATTTTAATATCCACTTGACTATAGAATAAAAATTCAATATATTAGTATTATTTTGAGTTTTCAGAGAATTGAAATGCTTTGTTAACAAGTATCAAGAGTGTAATAAATGTCGAACGAGATTCGTAATTGGCAACAGTTTGTATAACATTTCAGAGAGAATAAACATTCGTATATGTACGAAACTTATGGGTTGTTTTGATTCTTTATATATATATGTATATAAAATTATTATCAATTATTGAAGATTTAATAATCATAAGTTATTGATTTAATTATTCTATAAATATTTATTTGGGATGTATAATAAATAAACAAAAGTTCAGTGATAGAGGCAACAATGTACAGATATATAAATTAACATAATAGAAGTAAAATAACAATTTCAAGATACTCACTGATACTATTACAATGTTTTTCTAAAATCCATGTAATAAGAATAAAATCATTATTGACTTTTCTCAGGTACACTTTGTTGTTTTACATAATCTTGCACAGTTGTTGAAATACTATGCACACCGTTGCTTATGTAAGTCGGAGTATTGGACAGGAATTTCGTGCTTGCTATGACTCCCTTATTCCATGATGATTTGACAGAGTTGGAGAGATCATTGGTACTTGGCAATGGTGGTAGCTATATGACAATATAATTTTTTTCTTAGATGAAATATATAAAATATTGAAAAAAGAATAAATAATATAAAATGAGACATGTATATAAAACAAAAGGCTAATAATATCATTGTACACAAAATGTAAATTTCACATTTTGATAAACTCATGTTAGTCACATATGTATTTAACAATTATTTAATTTTACTATTAAATGTTAATATTTAATAAGGAATTAAATATATACAGCTTCAAATAGATATATTAAAAAATATTTAAAAAAATCCATGATAATGCTGTTGTTAAAAAATTAAAAACACACCTCGTTCACGACTTTCTTGGGAATGTTGTCCTTAATATAAGGCGCGACATTATTATAGATCCTTCCATACAACTGCACGCTATCTTCGGATTTGGACCACAGGCCCTGATGAACACTGTAATAAACAATACCTCCTACGAGGGTGGCCTTGACAGCGAACCTGCGGACACACATAACTTCTCGTCATGATTCGATTTCGATTTGCGGAACGAGGTAGTGTGCGAATACCGTGACAGCGTGTCCTCTCTACTCCTCAGCGAATGTACTAACCGCACGACACCCATTATTCGGCCAGAAATTACTTCGGCAAGTGAATTCGATTCAAAACGCTCCGGCTGTCAAGAGGAAGGCGAGATTTACGTAAAGTCTGTCAAGTAAACGCTTCGAAACTTTCGTCGCGTCAAGTAGAACGCGTCCTATTTACGCTCTCTGATTGGTCGAGCGTTGCTGTTCATTCATGCATGCCAGTCAATGAAAATGCAGCATGAATTGGAGCACAACTGTCACGAACAGACCGATATTTAGCGGTTTGGCGTCATCCTACCATTTCTTATTTCTATACGTTCCATTCTATTATGGTGGCATGTTATGAACAATTGATGCATTTTATTTGTTATTTTCTTCTAATCATTCATTTACAATCATATTATCGATAAACGTGATTTGAGTTATGAAAGTAATGGTGCTACCTCAAATTATTCATTAAATTATTCCAATCTCAAGCTTGTAATCTATAATGTTGCCATCAGAGTATATGGAGTTAAAGGTATTAGAAATATTTGTAATAATATTTATAATTGTGAATATTTATAATAATTGTGTATAAAATAATCTTATACTTAATAACAAAATTAATTGAACAATGTATTTGTTACATTGCAGCATATTGATAAGCTATTACAATGTGGAATATGTTATGAGTATATGGATACTAGTGTGATAACTTCATGTTCCCACAATTGTGAGTAATTGTGTAAAATTGTTGTGTTATTATTTCCTATATTGCATAGATATTATATTATTTATAATTTCAGATTGCTCTCTGTGCATTAGAAAATACTTACATTATAAAACACAATGTCCAATTTGTTTTGAAGAAACCTTTGAAAAAGATTTACGAACAAACAAGCTTTTGGATGAAATCATTATTCATTATTTGAATTTTAAAGAGAAACTTGAAAAGAAATTTTATCAGAAAGACGTATTGACTGTGGAAAATAAAAACTGTGAAATTTTATATTCTTCAAGTAATTTTGAGTGTAAGAAAGAACAAAATGTCCCTGATACAAATAAAATATTGGATAAAAGTTTTGATAGTCCAACATCCATGGCTAGTAATACTACACCTCGTGGACAAAAGGAATATCAGAATAATGTATCTACTCCTAGCACCAGTACAGAATTCAGGATACCTTCAATATTTACACCAAAGAGAAAAGGCATTCAAAATGAAGAAACTTATCAGCCAGTTACATGTCCAGTGTGCAAAGTAGATGTGCCTCAAAATAATATAAACAAACATTTAGATGATTGTTTAAAAAGGGAGAATATAAAGAATCAACCTAAAAAGTAAGTATTGTATAATATTATTTTGTAATATTATTTGGTATCATTATTTCTCAAATTTTTAAAGAAAATTAATATTTTAATGTCTTGAATATCTTAATATGTACTTCTTGTAATTTTTTTTTTTCAATACTTTATTTGCAGAAGTGAGCCAAAACGTAAACCACTTCCAAAATTAGTATTAAGTTTAATGAAAGATAATGTGATAAAAAAAAGATTAAAAGAATTAGGCTTATCATCTCAAGGAGATAGAAAAGCATTAGAAAGCAGATTACAAAGATACATAATTCTTTACAATGCAGAATGCGATAAAATAAATCCTAGACCTGTATCAGAATTAATTAAACAGTGTGAAGAAGAAGAAAATTTGGAGAAGAAAGTACAAAAACCATCAAATGTAATTATATCATAATATATATACTATATTACACATTTGCTTGAATTTTTTTATATATTAATATAATAAATTTTACAGAGATTGAATGTCAATAGAAATACAGAACATAATGTTATAGAACAACAGAGGAAAAAATTTGTAAGTATTCTTCAATTATTTTTACATATAAATGATTAGATTATAATTAGAATATAAATGCTCTAATATTTTTTTGATGTTTTTATTTTTAGTGACTGTAAATAAGAATAGTTTTGATCAACTAATTATGAATATGAAATCTCCTAATAAATTACGAAAATTATCCGTAAGACGTAATATACTAAGCAAAGAAAATACTGATGTTCCATATGAAGATTGTATTACAGAAAGCATTTCAACTATTAGAGATAACGAGAAAAGCAGTGTTCTAGCGTTGAATTCTTATATTGAAGATTCGCATTCAAATGCATCTTGTTCTAACATAAATCCTATAGATTTTTTAACAATGGAATTATCTACCTCATCTAATGATTCCAATGATCAATATGCTTCCAATTATGTCTCAAATTATTCATGTAAAACCAAATCGGTTTTATCTGATTCTATTGTAACAATAGAAAATGCAAAGAGTGAAGAACTATTATTTCCCGAAAAGACCATAATACATGAAGAAATAACTTTTAATAATCAGTCAAAAGAATGTAACGCTTCAGAAAATGGAATGGATGTAGATAGCAAAGAGTCTGTTCCTCAGTTTAGAACTGAATCAGAGAATGAAAGAACAACTAAATTGAAAAGAAGTCAATATAGTAGAATGAACTCACATGAGAAACGTGACGCATATGCCAAGTCTAAAGATTTATGGAAGATGTGGAAGAAGAAACGCAATGAAGAAATAAATTCAGTAGAAGATATTGAGTATGTTATAGGAGACAGTGACGATAGTGACATTCAGGATTATGGTAAATAACTTCTTTAATATTTTAAAAGTATCCAAATAAAAATTATTTTTTATTTTATTATAATAAATTTATTTTTGTTAGGGTGATTGAAACCTTCATGAAAGAGATTTGACTTTTACAGAAAGATCAAAGCACGAACAATTGCATAACGTGAAAGAGAGTGCATCAAATCAGAAAGAAAACTTGAAATCGTCGAATGAAAATATAAAATCTTGCACTCTTCAGAAGCAGGATCATGAAATGGCATTCACGTTAAGTGACAAAGAAAAAATTGCAGATAGATCAATGAATACAAGGAAATCACCTATGTTTGGCCTCAGCGAAGCTAGAGGATTTAACAATGAAAATTGCGAAGATAAAATGCAGGATGAAGAAAAATTGCAAAATGAAAAGGAACCACAACATGTAACTCGCAGTTATATGCGACGACATTTGAAAAGTAAAATTATTAGTGATAAAAAAATTAACAACAGAAGTTGAATCAGAGAATTTAATAATTGAATCGTAGAAATAAATTACTATATATATACGTATCAATCATTGAAGACGAAAACTATAAAAATAAGTAGTTGATCACAATTATAGAAATTTTAGTTTGATATTGTTATATTTTCATTGATATATCGATGGTTTTGATATGAAAAGCATATTTAAAAAAGAAAAATATAAAATTATACTATACATATATTAATATACTGAATATACTTCTATTATTCTATTATTGTATTCATATAATAGATCTATTTTATTATTCTATTCTATTCTATTCTATTATTATATTCATATACTTCTATTGTATTCATATAGATATTTTTAATTGTAGCATATTTGTTATTTTACATAGTAATATATATATTCTTATTCATGTTGTTTCAAATAGATCTCAGAATTATTTAATATCGATCAAGATATGCATTTTCATTTATACCATAATATATTTTGAATAATTTGAATTATACTAACAATAAGTATTGGACTTTTCTGTTACATAATGATTGACTGAAGAAAATAATAAAATGTCTTATCATATCATTTCGATGTTTGATAAGAGGTACACAAGTTAACAAATTCTTTATCAAAGACATTAAATTTTATTTAATATATTATTTTACATTATTTTGAACAGGAAAAAAGGAGACTAACAGTGTTGGAACGATCGGCGCAAATCTCAATAAATTTGTATTTATTCCTAGACACTAACAATAATTTAATAAGCTTAACATATCTTCAAATATAGTTGTCAGTTTACCGATCCCTTACACAGTAAATTATTTAATTTTGATATTATATAACTTTGATATTCATACACTTTGGTATTGATTTATACAATTATACAGTTAACTTTATTTACATACGTGTAATTCACGATAAATTCTGATACTCATCTAAGTTCGTAGATTTACAAGTGCTAACGTTCTAAACGGAACGGCTATCACACTCATTATACATCGTTCTCGCTTAATTCTTACTTAACGTTATTGCACTGTTACAGTCTATTAAACTTTGTATCGTTAACGATACACTTTTTCCTATTTTACGTACGAGGCGCATCGTTACTACAGGAACGAAAACTTTTCTATGATTTAGAAAGCATTTCTAATATAGTAAACAGTTTTCTGCACTTTAACAAACTTTTGTCTAATTCTCATATTTGATGTTTTAAAGAGCATTAACTATTTAGCAGAACACGGTTAATCATTTTTTGTTGCGATCATCTCTCTTTCACTTTATTATTTATTTATTTTTTATATAATTAGAAGAAATATTTATTCGCGCGTAAAATATCTTTTACTTAAATATATATTCGAGTATAATAATCTACTTTGCTGTGGTATGGCATCACGCGAGGTAGTTACTCGAACATTAATACATTTTTTTCAAGTATGCTACAAGTGACTCTGACTTTTATCCCGTATGTAATTGTTTATCGATTCCTCTTGAAGACAGCAGGAAGATCGAAATATTAGATACATGAGATACTATTGTTTTTTCTTATAAATAATAGAGTTCAATTTATTTATCGTTAGATTCATCAATGACTCATTCATAATTCTTATAAATAGATTGTCTTTTGATTTGCTAAGAGATCAGAAATAGTAGCTTTGAAGAGACGGCGAAAAGATTATCTTTGCCGTAAAAGGCCAATTGTCTTCTATTATTTAATTAGTTAAAGAGAAATTCCTAAAAAATAGATTATTTTTCTCATGTGAGTAAAGAAACTATCGAGTTTTTTTTATCACATGTTTTAAGTACGTATATTAATGCAGATTCTCTTTTAATTACGAATGGACGAAGTTAAAGCCAAAATGTAAATTAATTATCGCACGATAAATTTATTTCGTATGAAATAAATTTCACACATAAAATTAATTAATTTACATTTCGTTCATATAAATTCGCGATAAAATATTAATGTCAAGCTCTTTTAATAAAATTATACTTTGTGAGATAAAAATATGTATACGATAGATGTTTTGCACAGGAGTGCAACTTTATTTTTGAATGAGATTCGAGAAAACTATCGTATTTTTTGAAAAATTTATGCATATATATATAATTATATATATATATATATATATATATGCTTTTATTTTTATTTTAGTTGTAAATTTAATTGTTTGTAAGATATTAAGGAAAAATAAAATTATATTTTATAGGCGCTAAATTTTCCTTTAAAAATAATTTTGCTATTTAAATTTATTTTTCATAGCTATTCTTTTTATTGGATAAATTTGATAGGATACGTTATTTACAAAGATATGTAGAATATATTATAAGCTCATAAACGCGAAAATTTTTTTCACGCGCAATAATACTTAAAAGAATAGCTTTATAATTTTATATACACATATATCGCAATTTTATAAAAACTCGAGATTATTTTCTCAAAAGATAATTGCCTTTCGACTAACAAATAAATAAACCAATGTCTTATTTGCGATATATTGTTTCTTTTCGATCGTATTTTGATTAATTCTTTGATTCTCGAATTCATTGAAACAATTATTATTATATTAATCATAAAAGAATACTACTTTTCCAAATTATCACCATAAATTATCAAGAATATTATTAATAAGTGCCAATAATTAACCAAAAAGATTTAAGTTTTGCGGGGTGAGAGCACTTCGATTAATCTACTATTAATGTGTAATTATCATGGTCGATATGTCGAACGTCCTTTTGATGACAGTCGATGAATCATGTTAGAATATTGCAGTTTCAACGAATTTCAGTTATAAATAATATTGATTTGTGAATTACATCGAGTTAGATTAATTCGCGTGCAACGGAGCGACTGAAAAGTCGAGTACGACATTCTTGAATGACATATAATTTCAGATCTCCAGCGTTTAGTTTCCTCCGGAAGATTCTTGCAAGATTGAGTGACTTCTTATCTTCGGGACCTCCGCAAGAAAATTATCAGGATGGCATCTGCGAATGTTATTCTCTCAGCTTTCTCGGCAGTCTTTTATAATCGATCAGAACACCGAAGACGATCTCTTTTTGTTGTCGACAGCGACTGGTATTTTTTTTTCAAGTGCAGTAAGAATTTTGCTGCTCCAAGAGATGCTTCTTCATGAATGATTTTTGTCACAAATAATGATACGGTTTGTGACCCATTCTTCTGGCATTAAAAATTGATCTAGCATTAATTTTATAATAGCTCTTTTATTGTACTAGCAACATTTATAATCTCATCTATTATTATTTTTTTAATAATTACTGCTTTTCTTCTTATTTCTATCTTCTCTCATTATCTAAATTTTTATTGTAAAAGATCAGCGTCTTTTTTGGGGGAAAAATCTGTTTTATGTCAGACTCATGTCTAAATCTTTAAATCTGCGATTGCTCGCCCGTAAAGAATATATCGATCAAATCGTATCTTTTATGATTGTTCTATTTCGATATCACACGGAACTACTGTCACGTTATATTGTCCTGTTTCGATCTCCTCATCACCGTGATACCTATCGAACCACGTATCTTACGTAACAGATCTATTATATCAGCCGTTGACATGTGTTCCACACTCTCCTCGTTAACCTGGCAAAAGAAGAAAAGTTTCTTTAGAAGCAGATATGTACAAATTCGAATTTTGTATCAATATCTTTTTAATTTTTGTAATTCTCTTTAAATATTATTTATAAAAAGTCAGTATCAATCATTTATTATAAATAATTAATTAAAATACAACGTTTCGGCTGTCATTGCAGCCCTTTTGAGGTAGTGACTAAGATTCTTGCTAACTGTTAACATCTATTTATTTCTTGCTTACTTCTGTCAATTCTACATTGTTCATTAAAACAATGATGAATATTGTCGGTGGTATGCAGTGAATTGGATTTATTGTATTAATTTATTATGCATTTACGTTTGATTTACTTGAAAAGGGCTGCAGTGACAGCCGAAACGTTGTATTTTAATGAATTATTTATAATAAATGATTGCCAGTTTTGGTCGACTTTTACTATTGAGGAAAGATTTTTATTAATTATTACTGGCGAACCTTAAAGATTATTATCAGTATATATTGTTTTAAATTTTAAATAATTAAATAATTAAAATAAAATGTCAAAGAATTAAAACAAAAATATAATTAATATTATTAATAATAAGATGTTAATATTATTATATTGTTTATTTCAAGCTATAATAGCGTGTTTGCTCTAAAATATGTCCTATAAAAGAAAATAAGAGCTTGCGATGCTTACCATTAGTAAGACATCACCCTGTTTCAGTCTGCCATCCTTGGCCGCGACGCTATCGGGATGCACAACCGATATCACTGTACAATTTCCTTCCGGCTGCAGGCTAAAGCCCAGCCGGCTGTTCCACCCACGCGTCAATTCCACCATGAACACCTGTAACAGCAAGTGCGGGTTGCGCAACATTGCGATGTTGCATTCTCGTTGTATTGCCTCTGATTATCGTTCAATTTCACGTATTTCAAGATTAAAATTGAATAACAATGCATATGTCAAATGACAAAGCAAAAATAAAATGATTTTAATAAAGTGAATCGCTTATCACGCAGCTCTTATCGCGAAATTAAACTTTGTTTAATTACTCCACGGTTGAAATAAAATTTAATTATAGAAAAAAAACGCAATTTTTCACGATACCAACCTCGCTGCCTTGTTCAAGGTCTTCAGCAAGGGCGACTGCATCCGTAGTATCTTCTCCAATTTCTTCTGGATCGTGTTCAGCACCTCGATCTACTTCATCGTTCGGAGCGAACATCACGCCCTTCCACTTCAGTAATCCTTTACTACCACCTGGATCGTCCGTTCCCAGGATCTTCCCTGCACGAGATAAAAAGTCGAGATCATCGGATCGGAAAGAACGTTGATTGTGTGAAATAATCGTCGCGAAAAGTTGCGAAGTTTTGCAGTAATGTGACTGTTATCTTATCTCTATCTCCCTCTACTGCATCGATTACTTTCAATGATATAGAGACATAAAGTAGACCGCGCATATATCATACTTCCAGAATTAATTTTCACAGCCTCTATCAATTTAAAACTTATTTCGTATTAATCATCTTAAATGTATACTTATAAAAAGTCGAGTCTTTATATTAAAATATTACAAAAGTTTTCAATAGCTTTAATTTTTTTATAAACTCATTATTTTCGTGTTTTACGACAACAATATGGATTTAAAACAGTTTCTGAAATTTCTTTCAATATTTAATTTGCGCTTATATTTAATTTATAATATATACATTTATTAACACATAAGAAGGAGCAAAAAGAAAACGAGCCTCAATTATATATTGCGTGCGAATTTGATAAAAATTTGATAAAAAATTGAAGCATTAAACAAGCTCATTAATTCTATTTTTGGAATAATTATAACGAACAATAAGAAAATGCAATCTCAAACCTGGTATGTCCTGATCGCTGGAGTGTGTAGTTTTGGTCTTGGGTCCAGCCGGGTCGTTGACAGCGCTGCTGCAGGCCGGATTGGCACTTTGATAGGCTGGATTCTTGTAGCTAAAGGCAGCTGTGCTGGTACTGCTGGTGGATGAAAGCAACGGCGGCATCGAGGCCGGTTCGGACGGCAGATCATTGTCGTGCTCGTCGCTCGACATCACCGTCCTGTCGTTGTCGTAGCTCGGTTCGGCCAATCGACCTCGCTCTGCTTCCGCCAGGATCACGTCACTATCACCGGGATACTCGCCATCCGAGTCAACGCTGCAGAACTGAAAGTGCGGCTTACCTTGCGGCGCCGACAAGTCGAGGAAGCTCGGCCTGGCTGCTGCGGCATTATTGTTAGAGATCGGTTTCAACGACTCATCGTAGTCGTCATCGTCGTAGATGTCGTAGAGCGGCGGCGGATCGATTATGTCGGTCGCAGGTGTGTTTGCTTGGGAATTGGTGATCTGTGTCTTGACTGAACACTGGTCCGAGTCCGATGCGGTCTCCGCTTGGCTGGCTGTTGACGACGTCGTTTGCACGTCATGCAACTTACTCTCGGGAGTTTCTGTGTGGCATGCAGAGTACTTGTCATAAGGAAACTTATTGTAAAGTCCTATCATCTAGGATTGCCTTGATCCTGCGCGGTTCAAGATAATTCCGAGAGACAGTTGATGCTGAATGCCCCATTGTTATTTTAACATTTCTGAAGTTTCTAAAGCAATATAGCTATTCTCTACCAATCCTCCCTGATTTGTACAGTTTCAAGAAATTTGCTTGATAAATGACAATCATACCTTCGAATGTACTTATTGCAGAAACTGATTCATGTGTGAAGCTGATGAAATTATGAAGATGATTATATTTACCTTTATCCATATCTTAGATGCTTTTTCTTTTGATAAATAATCTACATATATTTTTAGAACTATTCTACTTATACTTCCTCATACTGTTAATTAATTATTTGATTAATTACCTTGATTGATTTCGGCAGTGGAAGTACGCGTAGCAAGTCGACGCCTTCGTGGCGAATTGCATGAAGCACCGGGCGACTGTTGTTTGCAACTATTAGAACCGCTCGATGTACCTGGTGACAGCTTTCGAACTGCTAAGTCACACAGCATGTCCACGGCTTCTTGTCTGTCAGAAAAATAACAAAAAATATGTGGCATAAGTTATTGTATAAAACACTGAACACTCGTACTTCAGTCTGATATGACGATCAAAAATAATATAACATTAAATATTAATACAAACGTCTCTATAATTTTTTATTTAAAAATGTTAAATACCATGTTTAAACTTTTCAGATTAGATTTAGATACCTCAAACTCGTTCGTGGCGGACGGAGGGGATGATCGGGTTCAGTGGGTGAAAGCGCCGAGACCGGGGTCTGCGCCGAATCGCGGTACAGCCGCAGTTTTACAGTCGGTCCGCATTGTCGTAGTAACTGAACCGCTTCCTCGTGGCTCATCGGAGACAGGGGAGCATCGTCCACGGCGACGATTTTGTCGCCCGGTCGGATTCTGCCATCACTCAGTGCCGGTTCTCGCACCAGCGCTCGCACGTAGTGACCCAAGGCACTGCTGTCCGCCTTCCTCAGGGTGAAGCCAAGACTGCCGTTGACTTTCATCATTTCGATGTCGAATTCCTGTAAACAATTGTTGTCCATCAGCCTTCCTTGCTTAAATTGTCACAGAAATACTCCAATCTTGACATTAATTTCAAGTACATTAATTTAAAAATTTATTGATTCTATGTTGATTAATTTTCTATTAATTAAGAATAAGTTTATGCTGATTTGCAGGAAATAATTAGAAAATATTTTAAAGTTCTTTTAATAGATTCAAGATTAAAAGATATATTTCTATTAAATTGTATCGAAAATATTCATTTATTCGAGATGCATATATGTATGCATTTCACGTGCGGAAATTCTGGTTTAACATTTTACATTTCTCGCTGGGGAGCCATGGTACGCAACAAGCGATCGTATATATGCATTGACTATTGTTTATGAATATTACCTCCCGTGGATCGTTCTCTATCAAGGTTCTCTTGGAATGGGATATTCAAATCGATATATAATGTGCATATTCCGAGCTCATCGTCTTATTTAATCATGAGTTAACACACCCAGCTTGAATATTGCGTTCCGCAAATAAACTGAGTTTGAACAATTTCTACAAATAAGATTTTACTTCTATTAGTTCTATGTGGATTTAATGACGTCGACGAATAAACTATTTTATTGTTATTTAAAATAATCTTTTAACTAAATCAATCGGCGTTCTTTCTTTATTTATTTTTTTCATAAATGCGACTAATAACTATTGCGAATAATTATTTATTCGTATATTGCTGCAGATTAAAAGCTTTGATTATTTTCAGTATTACAAATATTGTTTCTATGCAATATTTACTGATAATATCAATATTTATTGATAATACCCAATAACTTAACTTCATTATAATCAATATTTACTCTCCAGCTCTCTATTACATCATACATGTATTATATATTATTAATATGTAATATGCTAATAAAATGTAATATTATGCATTTAAAAAATTTATATATATTACTCTATTATGTACATATATGTAAAATAATTATAAAATCGTTATCTTTAAAACTAATCCTTGTTTCTCTGTTTATATACGATTATCTAATCTGGATTAAATGCCTTTATGCAAACTTCATTAAATTAGCTGACGGATTATTCGTTATTAATTCAGCCAAGCAACGAAGTGTGTATACATTCATGAAACGTTATTTGAAAGAAGCATTACTTACACAGGGCTCGATTTGCAAAGGTGGCAGCGGGTTGAGTATACGTAATGACGACGGCTCTCGCCTGGCTGGTGGTGGCGGAGGTGCACCGGGTGGAGTGACATTACTATCTCCTGGAAGCCGACACACCACCAATTCGACCGTGCTAGGGGTCGTACGCAGAACTTCGAGAGCCTCCTGCAACAAGTAGCATCAAAGTAAGATTATGCAGGCTTTCCATTCCTCCGGTATACACATGTATATAGATAACGCCTCTCAAGTCGCCGCTGCAATCATTTTCTTTAAAGACCTTATGGTTCCCGGTAGTTTGGAAAAGCTGAGAGAGCAACATACCGGACTATTTCTATATCTACCGGATATTTAGTAATATAAGGTAAAATTGTTATTGAAAAATATTGAAAAATATGACAGATATTGCTGCTGACGTCAGATGTTGTTGCGTTTTACGGTACTCAATATGTAATCTATAATATATAATCTATGGTTTATTTGAAATAAAAAATTTTTTGATCGATTTTTAAAATATACTGATAAATCTAGACTTTGTCGTAAAATATTTTCTTAAATGATTTATTAATTTAACTTATTTTTTAACAGATAAAAATGATAAATGAAAAATTTTTTATATTCAAATAAGTATCATTTTACAATTATTGCGAATTTTAAAAATTCGCTTTGACAAAGACTAGATTTATTTGAATATTTTAAGAATTAATTGAGTTTTTTGTTTCAAATGAACCATATAAATTGTATATTGGGTACCGTAAAATGCAACAGCATCAAAAGCAATATCTGCATCAATATTTGCCACATTTTTAAATATTTTTCAATAAAAAATATATTTTATATTACTAAATATACATATAATAGATTGGTAAAAACTTCATTTTGATAATCCTCATATTTTCTGAGAAAAAATTCATTTTCAAAGTTTAAACAAAAAGGAGAAAACTGGCGGATTTCTTCGTTATTTTCACGTATTTGTAAAAAGTTCACGAGTTAAAAAAATTCAGTCTCTATATCATATGGAACAAAGATTCAACTTTAAGAATCTATTCTTAAAATTGCTGTACGATGATTTTTAACGAAGTTATGAACGATCAAAGTGAAAATGACATTTTCTCTTCAATTTGCGATAACTTGATAAGGAAAGATCAAAATTTAAATTTTAAAAAATGATTTTGCAGGGAAAACTTCAGACTTTAACGTAAAAATATCAAACTTTTTTTTAAAATCTTGTGCATGCGACACGTCTACAAAGAAGAAGAAAATTTTCCATTTAATTATGTTTGTCATTTTCTGTTTGTAAAAAATATGAGACTGGAAGAAAATGAAAAAAGCTATGAACTTTCGAAAGTAGAGATTTCAAGTTTTAAAATCCTTTTTTAAAATTTAAATTCTCATTTTTCGAAACAACGTTACAACTATTTAAAATTTGCCTATCTTTTGGACAATTTTTTAATCCCTTAATTATTTTGAGGAGTGTAATTTAAATATATACCCTTTTTCTTGGTTTCCACCAAATTACGTTTAATGAGCAGCAAATGTACGACTTCATTTAGAAGCCGCAGCAACGATCGCAATTAAATGCAATCGCGATAAAACTGTTGTTCCCAGTTGGTCCCGTAGTAAAGCGAAGCAATGGAATTAAAATGAAGTCAAGGTTTTAGCATCTTTGCAGTGCAGTCAGCAAATTTCTCGCGAAAAATAAGAGCGGCGGAAGGCGTATACGCAGTTGCGTGCTGGGAGTAGGAGGCAGTAATGCTTTTGCCCTCGTGGGACAACCTGCCAAGTACAAGTGAGATAACGTCTATCCTCTCGTCGGGGCCCACGGGCATAGCTGCATTATGTTAATCCAATGCAAATCTTCGAGAGAGAGAGAGAGAGAGAGTCACGAGAGGATGGCTGAGGCCTCCAGTCGAGGAGTAGCAGTCTTACTAGTACTATGCGGATATACATGTCTGTGCTCTATTATACTTAGCTGATACGGATAAAGTTTTGCTTCAACATTACTTCTACTTTTAAAATAAACTCGATATAGATTAGACATGTCAATAAAACAAGTTAATAATTTTTTTTTACAAACATTAATTTAATTAGAGTTTATATATTAATAAAAAATTTTAAAAATTATTTTAATTATGTAACTCGCAAGCTGCAAGCTCTCATCAACTTCAATTCATTCATAATTAAATTAAATTCGCTACGGCAAATTTTATTTTGGATTCTTTTCGTTTGTTCAATTAATTACTTACGTAATTGGTGAGGCCAGTTAGCGGAATCCCGTTAGCAGCCAGTAATATGTCGCCAGTTTGAAGCTTGTTGGACAGGGCGGCGGGTTGTTGGGCAAAGAGTCTTTTCACTCTGACAGGACCTGCGGTGCCACCACCGGAAACACTCAGACCGAGACCGCGACTGCTCTTCTGCAGCGTAACTCGGAATGTGCTCTCTGAAAGTTATTAAAACATTTTTACTGTGTCTGTGAATATGTTACTTTCGAATAGCGTCACGTTCGCTAAGAACATTTCATTCATCTATTTTAGTTTGCGCGTTTAATTCTTCGCGCTCGAAGTTGTCACCGCGATTTTTCAGAGCATTTCAATCATTAGTAATGTAGTAATTAGTAGATATAAGCTGCAAATTGAGTGAAATTAAATGCCAGCTGAATTTAATAACTTTATTTTTTTAGTTGCTTATTATTAATCATATATTTACAGGAGAGAATTTATTTGTAAAATGTGAATTGGTAAGAGATAAATGTGAGCCAAAGTTTATATACGCAAGTATATTATAATTATATCGATTATAATTATATAATTAGAAAGGAGAATGAGATTTAATTTTTATTTCTCGAAATATTACGTCTGTGCAATAGCACAATTATATACAATAGTATAATTTATTAGTTTTACTAGAGAGTGAGGTACGGTTTAATATCTGCTAGCAGAAACAATTACTTTCTGTCGCGGTATTCTATACAATGCCGCGGTGCACTGCGTGCATATTTCAACCACTGCAGTAGCTTTTGCGAAATGCGTTCTGTCGGTCATAATTTTCGTGGCACTCGCTCAGAGGACATGTTTTCAAAATATACGTAAACTTGTGTGCCTGCGCGTGTGGTTATGCGTATGCTAGTGTATGTGTATATATATGTCATTTATCAACAATAGTTAGCACTGCATTTCGTTAAAACTTGACTCTTTTAATACGTACTTTAAGGTCATCCATGCATAAGACTCAAATTGCAGAGTTTAGTAAAGAATTAAAAATGTCAACGTCATATTATGGCTAACAATTTAATTGATTAGTTTAAGATTTTTATATCTTGATTTGAGAAATGTACTTTTATTCTCTATGCTTATATGATAATTTAATTATTAAATTTATTTTTAATTGTAAATAATTCATCTGTAATTGTAAATGAATAATTTCGAGAGGAAAAAGTCTAGTCAATATTTTAATCTCTCATATTCTCAAAAAAGAGTTGTTATGTAAACAACTCTTGTTTTATTATGTAAACTATTTTTTATATCAAGGGAATATTAACAAAACAAATTTTATTCTGTTTTACAACTAACAAGCATATTAATAAAATATGATATCACAATTACAATATTAAAGAATGTTAAAAGGATTCAATTAAATGATATATATTTTATAATTATTTAAAATTAACAGATTCAATTAATAATAATCTACTTGAAAAATGTGTTTATTTTTGATATATATTGATGATTTCTCATAGTTTATCAATACTTGTGCAACATAAATGATTATATAAACGATTGTTTGATTTTGGAATTTTCATTTTATGTAACTGTGTCACGTACTGTTTGCATGGCGTCAATGTTTAAAGCTGAAGTATCCATATCGCGCAAGCACAAGCAGAATGTTGTGCCATTTACAATTAGTACCAATCAAAGTGATACGAACAATTACAGCAAATCCAATACAGTAACTCAATTCATTAGAAGTTTGTAACGTCTTAATGCTAAAGTAATTTTATAAATGAGATTAATGATGTTTTTGATTCGATAGAAGGATTTGCTGCGCAAATTCTATAAATAATAAATAAAATCATCATTATATAATAATAAAAAAGTGATTGATGTTAATAATAAAGAAAATAATTGTGTAAACAATTAATATAAAAATATTTATTGCAATTGCAATAAATCAAATAAAATAATCCGATTGACTCGACTTTGTTTCATAGGTTCGCGTGGAAGATTTGCTTTGCAATTTATTATTTTTTTTTTTAAATAATCAATGTGAAATGACTCTTAAATATAAAAATGACTCATGTTCCACCGGATATTGACTCGATTCAGTAGACATAGCGCACATATTGTTCACTTTGTTCACTTTACTGGCTATTCAAATCCGGGCCTCTCCTGCGTCCGCCACTATGCAAAGGGGTAATTTACGTTTGCGCATTATTGTCTGGAGTCGCAGAGTGTCACTCTTTCCGAAAGAGAAATCGGTCATTGTTCGAATCGCTTCGAATTATAGAGCAGTCCACGTTCAATGGATTCCCCGATCGTTTGCTAAATGCTTTGTGAAATTGGACGGCCGATTTCACAGGAATAACGATTTTCCTGTGTCACTTTATACGTTGTTCCACTATGCTATTACAATTAAGATCATGAGTGCTGACATGGCTACTGCACTTTGGAAACTGCTAACCAAAGAGTGACAATTTCTAGTCTCTGTCGACACATCAAGTTTTCATATTTTACTTCGTTTAAAATTAATTTTATTACACAAAGTTGCGTAAAATTTCTTTTATAACTCATAATGATCTTTCAAACTATACACTACATAAAATATGTGTTTTATGAACTTAGGAAATTCTAATTTATTTAGAATTTATTTTATAAATTAACTCTCAATCAACTACTTTGATCAATTGTATTGATTCATTATTAAAAATTTATTCAAATCAATTTTATAAAACAGCTACATATGTTAGAATAATTCATGCTATACGTATAAGAAGAAAAACAAAGACCAACGATTATATTAATTACAAAATAAATACCAATTAATTTATCACGGTTGCAAAATATATAACACTTTATAACATTATAAATTCACGCTTAATATATTCTGTATTTTAAATTAATTTCGATGAATGAACTGTCGTCATACAAAATATATAAATGTGTAGGTAGATTTTTAATTACTTATTAGAAGAGTCTATAATATACTCATAATTATTCATTAGTCTTAATGAAAATTTAAATAGTAGATTAACCGATGTAGTATTTGAATAGAAATGATTGAATAAAATGATTTTAATTTAATAAATTAAATTAAATCTAAAAAATAAAATGAAGAATTATCTGTACTGCATAATAAATATTATGCAATTTATTTTAATTTCAAATTTTTACATATTGATTGAAACTTATATGATTTTAATAAAAAAGAGAAAATAACAAGTTATTATTTTTTGCACAATTAAATTTTATTATATTGATTTATTAAAATTAAAAAATTCTTCAAACATCAAATATTATTCTTTTTAAATTGAAAAATAAGGCAATACTAAATAAATTTAATAATAATATGAGCAGAATAATGATAATAATAATAAATAGTAATAATAAATAAGGTGTGTGTGTGACCAAAAAAATTTTATTCTTGAAATAGACTTTAGATTTTATTAGCGATGATATCTCATATATTTAATTTGAATAATGAAATTTGAAATATGAAATATTGAAAAAACGTGAATGTATATTATAAAATGTTTAATATTTCAATACCACCAAATTAGTTGTCATTCAAGGTATTTCACGGTCTTCATGGTGTACAGCGTATTATTGTATATTTGCCAATTTGTCATTTGTACGGCAAAATTCGAATAGGAAGGTTTCCTATACATTTCCTACATTTATTATATAATTAACAACACATAAGCGTATTGACAATAATTAACCGTAATTTGCGCGAGGCTTTATCTTGCTAAAGTTATTGTTAATATCCCGATTCATTGACTGGAACTACAATCCTCTCACGCGAAGCGGAATATTAGTTCTCAATCGTGAGATTTGTGGGAGTGTCGTGCAAAGTGTCGCGCGTCTGTTATTCTTATCGTATCGCATAATGAACTGTAATGAACTATAATAAACCATATTTTCGCGAGTGAGTGCAACAAACTCTAAGTTTAATGAATCTTGACTTCCTAAGAGAGGAAGAGGAAGTCTAGGATGCATCCGGCAACGACGGAACAGTTTTTGAAGTAATTAATTTTATTTGTAGTATTTTATAAGTATTTATATTTTATTTATATATTATTTATTTACTTTTTGCACATTTATGCCTTTTATTCAGATTTAAATAATAATTAAAATTTAATATATTTACGATATATTTAATTAAACTTAGTATTTAGAAACATTATTTTTTTTCGACAAATTTATAATTATTTCATGAAATAGTAGCTTGTTATTTTGTTATTCTCTAATATTTCTTGCGTTTTTGCGTTTATGCGTAACGACATGTAATCGAGAATGCTAGCGATGCATTAAATCGAATTTTTGATACGAGTGCATGATATCGTCTTGCATTAGTCGCGTATCTCTCGACTTGCAGCTAGCTCGATTTTACGTACAAATATATTTATATATACTTGATGTCACTCTAAATCCGAGACGGCGCGCAAATAAAAACGATTCGATTAAGAAGACGATCAATTACCGGCCGGTGCGGGCGAGGCGTTTAATTAATGTTACGTTTGCATTTAGGTTGGTCAGCGAATTGTAAAACGGAAGTACTCGTAAAAAGAGAGAAGAGATAGCTGCCTCTCTCCGAGGTTTACGTATGAACGAGACACGGCTGGCCCAGCACGTGTGCAACGTTCGTTATGGAATCCATTACGAGATAGCAGGATGCCGCCCGCGGTTTGCAATGAAGATACCGATATTTATGGATCTAACAAGCTCGCCACTGAAGTATATTCGCCATTACGTTTGCGAGGATTATCGGCCAGCCGGAAGCCGACGCTCTTTGAAGCCGTAATCCTGCGTTCCTTCGAATCGATAATGGAATCGCTTTTAATGCCGCATGGACGATTCTCTCGGAATCGCCTAATGGTAAATTATCCCAGTTCGGAGAGAGTGCTCCTAATAATTTGGCGTCTGAAGGAGGCTTCAGATGTGCGAGAGAATAATACTGCTTCAACATCAATTGCGCGTATTTTCAACCGAATATAATATACATATAACTGAATATTTGAGTGCTCCTTTCATCTGAATAAATGCGATAAATCATCAGACATCGAACTTTTTAATAACTTATACTGTGCGAAAGATGCATCCAATGACTGAAGCACTATATTTATTTAACGGGAAGAGTACGAAACAAGTTTTATGTATGCTTCTCGAGGCTCTTTCATTCGATACGCGGGAGTTCGTCGGACGATCTCTTAATATTTGTACCAAA